TACATTAAAATTTGTATTATCGTTTTAAATGTGTTGTGAATATCGTTAATTTCAATATTGTATCACGGATATAATACTTAAAACCAAACTTTTGAGAAAAATATGAACACTTTTGGGAGATAAATTGCATTCTGCACTCTTCTCACCAATGTCATAAATGTGATATCTTCACTTTTCATATATCTGATAGTCCGTGGCACAGACCCCGTTTTATTGAATTAATAACATCCGCCTGAAACTTCGTAAATAGTTTAATCTCTTCGTAACTTACAACTATTTTATTTTCGAAAACTCTTGGTATAGGGGCGTTTTCGATCTGAAGGGGGGGGGGCAAACTTTATATATTTAATTAGGTACTAAGAACTCGTAAATACCCATCTGCTTTCGTAAGATAATTTGATCACAAAATCGATAAAAAAAAGTGGCCTTCAAAAATATTGAGCCGTTTGGCGCCACCTACACCCCCAAATTTTCAAAATAACGAGGTTACATAGGACAAACGGACAAATATTTTTGTAGGCCACCTTTTGTATCGACTTTATGTTCAAATTATCTAACGATCCAAGTACCAAGGAAATGGGTATTTACGATTTTTTAATACCTAATTAAATAGACAAAGTTTGCACCCCTCCAGATTAAAAACGCCCGAATTGATCTATAAAAAATAAAAAGCATAAAACTTCTTACCACATAATAATCAACATAAAATATTTCTACTCACATAAAAAAGATATTGTTAAGGAATTGAGCGTTTAATGGTAACAATGGTAGTAATGTCTAAAGGCACTTTGCCAATTAGAAAAGGTTTTCTATTTCGTATTTTATTGTTTCAAATACTTTTAATTTAAGCGATAATTAAAGTTAATTAATAATAACCATTATTTGTAATCAACATATGTTAATAGTATCATATGATTAAGATATGAACAAAGTTCATTTAATCTTTTTGATTTAAATTCTATATATTTGTTTTCAATCTTAATAAACACAATTATTACAAATTAAATTGATAAAATTAATTGTGTTTTTTTGTTTCGATTAATCTCTATCTCACTATTTCTCGCATACAGCGGTAAAGAGGAATGAAAGTTATTCTAGAGGTACAACGAAATCTATTTGAGTGAGAACGTCGAGATTAATTCGACCTCCTTCAATAATTACGTTCGACAGTCTGACTCGGACCTGGAGCATTTCAGAACAGTACCTTATTCCTTAAATAACCCGATCTCCGAGATTAAGTATATTAAGTACCAAAAAAAATGGAACAATTAAATCAGCAATGTATTCCGTTCTTTAATTTTTAGAATAGATTATTCCTGAATAATTTAACTAAGCAAGCTTTGCCTTTTATTAAGGCTTAGATTCACAATGGTTGCAAAATTGGAATTGTTCTGTTTAGTATTACCACCACAAAATTTTGTTAAAAATTGTAAATAATAATACAATCAATCAATATGAACAAACCATGTACTCCGAGAAGGTCCGGAATTAGGATTTCTGACAGATGGAGCAAACTTAATTTTTCTGCTCCTACTAAAAGTTGTCGTTTAATATCAATATTTTAGATCCCGTATTTCGAAATAAATATTATAAAGTAGAAAATCAACTAAACAGTCAAAAAGTAGAAAGAAATATTTTTTACATAAGAAAAAAAAATGTCTGCCCCCAAACGCCTGCCTACTGTGGGCTGGAGAGCAGAGCGTAAAAGGTTTGTTTCGGTTTCAGAAAAGAAGTGTACCAAAACTTCATATCGAAATTTTTTTAAAACAGTTTAATGCATGAGGAACCCAAGTTTCATATTTTTTGCATTTCCAATTGCGTTGAGGCGCTCAGATATATTACCTTTGCTTACTGAGAGTTTCCTGTAGGTTCTCCAAACAATACTCGCAGAACATCGTTATTAAGTGGGAAGTCCTTCCAATTTTGTCTTCAAGGCTGAATTCTTCCTCTATAGATTTTTTAAACCATCGTTGAATTGTGCACTGACTCACTCACATTGCCATAGCGCCTCACTTCATTAATATTTCTGGTCGTCTGGGTCCCGTTCCGACAGAGTTTGATCTAAAGTTGAAACGAAATTCGGATATCACATTTTGATATCTTACTAAAGACCAAATTATTTCCAAATACTGAAATTCTACAGAAGATAAAAACATTTTTGTTTGAAAAAGGATTAATAAGAGTTGATGCCCATACAAAGGAGTAATCCCTCAAACGTAAACTTTGTTATATAGAGGTCGATATAAAGAAAACATGAACTCCTGCATTATTTTCTGGACAACTCAACAGTTTCTTACAAACCTTTGATTTGTTTTCTAAAAAGATTCTTTAAACAACATCAACTAAGTCTGTTATTGAATACCACGAGAGGAGGGAGGCGTTTTGTTTAAGTGAAAATGACAAAAGAAGTGCAATGCTAATATATTTTTAGTTATACGATTAAGACAGATCTTTTTGTTTTCAAGGAGCCATATGGCAGGCCAAAAGCTGATTGAGCACCCAGACGACAACGCCCTCCAAGAAGACACCTGGAGCGACAGATATCCGCGGCGGAGAGGGCTGACATAGAAGCTGCCTTGGACTGCGCACGCCCTGGCTAATCCCAAAAGGCCCGGGGCTACGCTAGATCTCCCTCCCCCCCTTCAGTATACACCAAATATTTGTACACCGACAGGCGGTGGCTTTATTAAACAGCTGTTAGATGGACCGATAGTCGGATCGCACGGCATCTGTCCTATAGGCCACCTTTGTATGGCTAAATCACCACTATCGTCGTCTCTGCTATATATACTACAGAATCAATTATTGTAAATAAAATTCCATTCCACGAAGTTTCAGACGGTCAATAAGTGAGCAATAAAAGTTTCCTTAACGAAACTTTATGCGCCGCACAGTGGGGAAAAACACCCCATTCTCTTGACATGGATTTTCACTCAGATATTCCCTTAAAAAAATTTAATGGGGTTCTAATTCTATGTAATTTGTTATATTTAATCAAATGGTAATTTACGTTTGGTGGTAGGAGTAATGTGAAATATGTTTTTTTTAATTATTTTTTTTCTGGTTACTGTTCCAACCTAAACCAACTTCAAATCAACCAAGTTTAAATAGAAAACAAAACTATGATAAACTTGAAATGAAATCCCTGCAATAGCTTTATTGTTTAAAAATAGATATTATTAATAATACTTTCGTTATCTGTTGAATATAAGATTATCTTATGTAGACATTTAGTTTAGGTGGTACCATAGGTAGGCGGTATATGTAGTCAGTTTCTTTAAAGTAGAATTATATAAAAAGAAATAGGCCATAAAGTTTTAACATAATAGTATGATTTATGCAAATTCGAGTGCTTTAATATTATTTCGGTTTATTGTTGTTTTTTTTTTTAAATTATTTTCTGAGCATAAGCATCATTTAGCTTACATTGGTCCAAATCCTCATTATGACAAAAATAATCTTTTTAGTCTTCAAATATTTTATCCGCTTAATAACAATTTTTCAAAGTGCATGCCTTAAAAAAAAAAAACTCTGTGCTCCCGTAAAGCAGATGTAGTACAACTTCTTTAATAATCCGAATGAAATATTAAAAAAAATAATAATAAAAAGTACCAACGACCTTGCGCCACCTTATTAATAGGATATAATTAGAGGATTCCAAACACAAAGGACTTGAGTTTATAAAAGGTAGGTAAACAACTAATCAGACAACGTTTCGCCAATTCAGGCTCACCAGGAGAGAGGAAAAAAATATCACATTTACATAAGTAAACCAAAGACAACAAATCTCGCGTAATGCTTAACGTAAACGCATCAATTGAAGATTATAGATAGTGGACCACTCCAAGTCATCTGAACACATACTCTTATGCTATTATCTTATTCTAGTTTCCTTGAAAAAAAACCTTCCTGATATATATTCCCGATCCTTGGAGCTTAATTTAATTGTGCACGTTTCACAAGGCGATATACCAAATGTTATACAAATCCACTGCCTGGTCTGCGTAAACTTACAACTTATTCAATAAATATTGTCGATAAGAAAAAGTGACAAAATATGTTTAAGCTGTACACTTTACATTTCTAAATGCCTCTTCTGCATAATGATTAATATGCTTATGAAACAGAGGATTGGTCTCTCCGCAGAGAATCTCCTGACCAAAATGGATCTGAATAACTCCTGCAGAAATGAATTATTGACGTTGGATGGATTTTAAAACACGTCTTACTAGATTAAAAATGTAGCCACCAAAGATGATTAAAAAATCTATGGGTATGTTTCCAGAAATAGCCCAAATCGAAATCTAAGGAAATCTTCACTTAACGGAGACAGCGATGGATGAAATGGACTCAACACCGGAAGTGAATTTAAATTGAGAAGAAAATAACCAAATGTTCTAGTGTTTTTTTTTCTTATGGACTCTATTTATTGTCAGAAACAGCCAATTTAACACGTTTTTATTGTTAATCATATTTAGAAAAAAAAAAGAGAAGGCAGCTTATTTCTCTGTAGAGAAATTAATTTATGGTGGAATCTAAATGTCCTCTCAGTTTTATTATTGAAACATGAATTTATATTAATTAATAAATTGGTTATTTTTTTTTTATCAGTTTAATCCAACAGTAGTACCATCTAGTGAGCAGACCTTTAACTAAATTCAAATGAAACAGTACTGGATTAATTGGGATGTTAAGTTTGTCATAAATTCGAGAAAATCTGTACTTTTTAAAGAAATTTATAGAACATTAATTTTCAATACTTTTTTTTTTTAAATAATTTTTTTTTTGTTTGTCCATTTGAAAGGACTATAACTTATACGAAAATAGTAAAAACCTTCAATCAGATTTATCTGTCACTAACAGTTATTTATATAAATTATATTGATCAAATTATATGTAATTAATTTAAATAATTTTCAGATAGCTTAATTCTATATTTAAAATGGTATTCACTCTCAATTTGTAACAAAATTGCTTATACACTGATTAATAAAGTTTACTGCTCGACGTTTTAGTTCAGAAACCAGACGCTAGATGGTACTTGGGTCGCTCTTACTATGGAAACGCCGCTAAATACAATCTACCCTGGTAAAATGTCTGATCAGGGGAAGTTATTATCTGAAAACAAAAAAGATGAATCTACCCCTGAAAAGCCACCTATACCACGCCCAAGATCAGGGATTAGGCCTGAAATACCTAGATCTTCTGCTTGGGTAAATGTATTGCTTATACCTTTATAACATTTTACATGTAATGAATGATCTTTTTTATTTACCAATACTCTATATTTATTTTTAATGTTTTTATAACTGTAACATTAATCCATACATTCACATCTGTTTTTGATGTAGAGTGAAGATGATGACCATGAAATTGTATCATTCTCAGTCCAAGCTGAAGTTACCTCTGTACAAAAAGAAACATCATTTTCCCATTCGCCAACAGTGGAATCTCATAAAACAACACCTGGTGAAATTTCTCCAGCACGTTCTTCTGTACCATCATCTCCAGCTAGATCAGATACAGAATTCATCAAGAAAAGAGCATTTGTTGTATCTCCAATGGCTGCAAAGCATCAGGTTGCTTAAATTATTTGTGCAATACAACTACCTATACAAAACTATTTATACTAAAATGAGAACAAAAAATGATAACTGCCAATAGATCTTTAGATTAATCTCTGGCCCTTATCATTCGGCTTTCAGAAAGCAACAACATTTATATTTTATCATGTTATTTTACAAATATAGATGTTTTATTTATTTTTTCAATAGAATCTGTAATTATCTGTAAGTATTGATAATGATTTACAGAATATAGAAAGTCCTGATATTAGACATAAACTTGATACTGGAGAAAGCAGTGGAAAAATCAGTGAAATATCATCTATTAGAAGTGGAACTTCTATTTCAGATAACAAAACTTATCGAGAAAAAATTAGAGAGAGAGTTCAAGCAGCTAAGGTATTATAAAGAATGAAATGCTTTAATTCAAAATAGCTACTGACTAATTTAAAAAAATAAATAACTTTAGAATAATTTTAAGAATTTTTTTTCAGGAAAGAGCCCTGGCAGCTGGTGCTTTTAAACCAAAAATGCAAAGGATTAAATCACCAACTGACAGTAAATCTGAAGAGGTTTTATTTTAAAATTTTAATTGAACTTTTATAACATTTTATTTATATAACATTATTGTTCCAAGTTATGTGCTTTTTAGTTTGACAAGGAGGAAGACAAAATCGAAGAAGCACTAAAAAAACATAAGGAAATAAAATCCAAATGGAAGGTAGCAACAGCATCTGTTCATGTATGTGTAATCATTCCTCTTATCTTGGTTTTACCTGGCAAATCAGTGTGTTCTTGATATTTGGTAGTGTCATAATGATGGTTATTGATATTTCCTTGTTTTTTGTTTGTACACAATGAAATATTGTTTAAAACATTCACTTTTTTTTGCCACAGGTTGCCAACATTCAGTCAGGTTATGAATTTTTTAGCAAAGGTTGGGAGCCTCCAATCAAATCTTCCCTTGAAGAAAATGATTCAGAAGATGCTGAACAACCACCAAGTAATACATCATAATTTATTTGTATTTTTTATATTTGTTTATTATGATATTGCTTATTAGTTTATTTGGGCTAAACATTCCTATGTACTCCTATTAGTTTGGGAACCACTGTCCAAAATTTGACCAATAAAACCTACTTTATAATGTATCGATATATAATTAATTATATTATATTTGTTTTATCTTTACCAGAAGGAGAATCAAGCGAAGATGAGAAGCTTTTAATAAAAGATATTCTTGGATCTAGAGAAGGTGACTGGTTCCCTCTATACAATCACCTGGCTCCGGAACTAACAGACTGGTCAGCAATGAAAGAAAAACAAGTTGGTCTTTTTTTTTGCCCATCAACATCTCCAGGTTTGTTCCTGCTATTATATTTAAATAAATCATGGAAGTTCTTTTTTCAAATTTCCACTTACATTATTTTAAATTATACTACAAAATAATTATCAAATATTCAAAATTACCTTACACACTACATGTACCTACAGTAAAATCAGTATATTATGTTAAAGAGTATATATAAAATAAATTACTTCTGAATTTTACATTATTATGCAATTCAAACTATTTTAAAGTTTTTATGTTCAATGAACACATTATATAATATAATTATCAGTAAAACAATATAATATAAATGTATATAATATAAACTCAAAAATCAGTATTTGTTATGAATGATATGGTATATACCATTGGTGAGGCACCTTTTTTTTCATAAGAGGCCACAGTAAGGTTATGCAGTGCTAATGAAGGCCACAGAAATTCTTTTTAGTTTACTATTGGTATTTTTATTTATCACTAATCACAAAAACCTACATATGTATATATTCAACTTAATTTTATTAATTTTCAAATTTTTTATACATAAATATATATTAATTTTAGCACATTATTAATAAATATCACACATAAACTTGCCTCTGAGGTCGCAGTTCTCTACCTACAGTAGTATATACCTTAAGTTTATTTGTTTGTTTTAATCTAATAATATTGTGATATTGCCAAATATAATACTCATACAAACTTGAAGTTCATTAAACAGCTTATTATTAAAGCTTTTGGTTTATTATTTTAATTCCATAATATTTCTCTAGATTTTCCCCCATTTCAAACTATTTTAATTTTGCAGTCCCTGTAGAAGAAAAACTTGAACAAGACACATCTCCTAGATTTATTGAAGATGAAGGCCTTTATGTCGGAAAAAGAACTAAAGTTTCTTGGAAGAGGCGGAATAAATTAGAACAAAGAATAATGGCTATGGGTTCTGAAAAGTCAGTATTTACGATTCAGATGCAAAATATTGATTAATTTATATTTATATTTTTGTTAAATTAATAATTGAGCATACACAAACTTGCATTGTCTAGATTTTGGTTTGGTGAAGATGGTGAAATTAAAGGTATTCAAGATCCATTAGAATACAGTAGCTTTAATATATATCTCGATGATGAAGTACCTCCTGAATTGCAGGTTGAATATGTTCCTGTAAGTGTTTGTGAAATAAATGGCAGTTTTAATTTTTCAATAAGTATTATTAATTTATGTTGTATTATCTATCAAATTTATGATACTGGTACTTTTAGGCTAAAAAAGATAAACCTGGTGCCCTTTCCGTGACTGGAGACGAAGTTTATTTATTGGAAATTGAAGTTGGTCATATTGTATTCAGGCACCATCCTTTATTTTCTAGAGAGCATTGTATTGCAGAGAGATTAAGATCTTTATGTGAAGTTAAAGAGAGCCCAGCAGTTCGGATAGGTAAGAATTTGCTCCATTAAATTTCATGTAGTCACCATTTTAACACTTCTTCTTCTTCCATGGCACTACAACTCGTGTAGGGTCTGGGCCTCCTGCAGCTTCGACCACCAGTCGTCTCTGAGAAGTGCAGCCCCCTTCCCATCATGGACTCCAAGGATAGCTCGAGCATTTGCTTCTACTCCATTAGTCCATCTAAGTTTTGGTCTGCCTACCCACCTAGTTTTATAAATTCACTTTTCTAATAATTTTCTTAATAAGTGATCCAGAGGCATCCAGCGAATGTGCCCCGGCCATCTTAATCTACCAATCCTTATTCCTCTCACTACATTGGCATTGTAAACAACATTGTAACACTTGCTATCTAAAAAATCAAATTTTAATTGATTTCTTCTCCATGTCTGACATGTCATTATCATTATTTTTATAGACCATCTGCTGATTGTCAATAGTTTTTGGACAGGTAAATATTTGACGATTAAAAAAAAATTGATTTCATTGAAGTTTTCTTTCAATTATTTATATATTTGAATGATTATTTATTATGGTATAATGTAAGGTTTTATCATCTTGAGGGAGCTGATTAATAATCTCAGATACTTATCATTAAACTTAAAATAAAAATTCATGGTGTCTGAGATAGTAAGTAATTCAAAGATTAACAGTGAGAGAACATTCTCACACTTTTTGTTTGAAATTCCAACATCTGAATCTTTTAAATTATATAGAGACAGTAAGTACTTACTGTTGATGTGTTATCTCTATAGAAATTATAATTTACTCTTTGATTTAGTAGTTTTTTTTCTCCTTTTCTTTATATGCTTAAATTAAACTAAACAAGTTTGGTTATTCTGTTATTCTGTACATAAACTGGTTTAGTTTGTTTTAGGTAAAGACATATACAAAACCATATTAAATGCATATATAAAATTCTTGAATCTGAATAAATTTCATCTACGACAAAATTCTATTTTTTACCTTTCATCTATCAAGCTTTTTTTTTTATTTTTTGTTGGTTTAAATTTCTTTGTTAATACTAACGAATATTTTTAAAAAGTTAATATAATGCCTCATTGATATGTTTCATCATACTAATTTATAATTTTTTTTTTAAAATCGTTTGTTCCCAGAAAAACACAATTCTACTAATTCAGTTATAAAATAATAATATAATAAAATTCAGTTTTCATTACTGGTAACCACTTTTATGTTTGTATTATATATTCATCAATATACTTACAAATAATGGTCATTTCTATTTAATTTTTATGATTATTTTTTATTTTCTCAGGTGGAAGGCTTCAAGCTCTTCGGAATTCTCGGGACCATCTACTTAAATTATATTCAGTTACTGAAGATCAATCACTTTTAGAAAGAGCTAATAGGTCAGTTTTTATATTTTACTTATTATTCTGCAATTATAATTCCAGAATATTTGGAATAAATCTTCTTATATAATTACTAGTCTCTCATTTACTGTTGAAACAATCAAATAAAAAGTGCTCAATTGTTTATTGAGACAGTTTCATTTTCTTTAAAAAGCTCAAGAAACTCGATGATTAGGTCAGTCTTTAGAGTTAAAAGACAAAGGTTCTGTTTGTTCTTCAACTATTTTTAGACCTGCTATCAGCTCTGGTAGTGAAAAATAAAAAATGAACCGAGTGATTACAAGAATAAGTTTTAAATTATTTTTTAAAGAACGCTCTTGAAAATAGTTGTATTATCTGAAATGGAAAATCGTCAGCTTGTACATTCATTAATCCTTTGGGTAATTGATAGACATAGCCAAAGCTTGTACTTCAAAATTGAAGTTTTTCTGTTTTTAACATAGTCCACAAAACCAAAACATTAACAAAAAAACATAATTATATTGTTTGGAGGCAAAGATCTTCCAGTTACATTAATTTTTTTTTAATTTATAAAGGGCTTGTAAAATTTTGACAAAATTATTATTAAAAGCTAACTTATTGTTTGCAGTTTATAGATTTATATTTTAAAATAAAATAGAGGTGGGATGCTCTAATACATATATATTGGGTTGGCAAATAAATCCTTTCGGTTTTTCAGGGTAAAATAAAACTCAATTTATTATAGACATACAATTTATTGTAATCTACAATATATTGACCATTATTTAATATGACTTTTTCCCATCTTTCCACTAACTGCATAATGCCATGTTCATAGAATGTCTGAGGTTTATTGTTAAAAAACTGATCCAAGTGGTTTTTGATGTTCTCTTCCTTTTGGAATTTTCATGGAGTTCTGCAGAGACCGGAATAAATAGTAGTCACTTGGAGCTAGTTCTGGTGTATAGGGAGGGTGGGGCAAAAGGTCCCATCCAAGGCTCAATAATTTATTGACCAATGAGGTGTGGGGCCTAGCGTTGTCTTGGTGGAACACAACACCGTTCCGATCATTCATAACTCTTCAGGATGTTCTCCAAATTTGATGTCACTATATCCGTTGGAAAGCTGAATTATTGTTATTCAAAGCCGTATGAATGGTTTTTTTTATTTAATGCCTACATATGGAATAAATAAACAAAAAATTCTTATAGGTTTTTATTTTTTATCTCTATTTGTAGTTTGTTTGTGAAGGTCTTGTTGATGTCATTTTGTGTAGTTTATTTGGACCCTAAATTTGACGGACACATAGAGTGTGCGACACATTTAGGACCATAGCAATCTCTTGCACTGATTGGTTGGGATTTTGATCAACAAGGGCCTTAACATTGCTCGTTTCAATTTCATGTGGGCGACCAGACCATTGAACATCATTGATGTCAAAATTTCCTCAATGAAATTTGACAAAAAAATTTTGGCAGGTGCGTTCGGTTAAGGCATCATCCCCATGAACTGCAAATTTTTCTATGAGCTTCTGCAGCATGCTTAATAATACAACAAAATATGCCGATAATGAATGATATTTTCTTCCATATTCACAGTGCAATAGCAAACACAATACTAAGCTAGTTTCAACAAGAGTTAACCGATATAGTTGTTGACATATTACAAACAGGATAAACGATCTACCTTAGGGATTAATTCATCAGATAAGAAGTGTATCGTAGTAACTATATATATATATATATATATATATATATATATATATATATATATATATATAGAGAGAGAGAGAGAGAGAGATTTCATATCATATCGAAAATGGTAACTCTAATTGGGACCAAAATACAATAATTGTACAAAGCTGAAAATAAAATGTTATTATTTATCTTTCTTCTATTTTAGTCTTACATAAGTTAGTGAAAAATTGTTCTTTTGAATCTTAATTATGGTTAATAATTTGTTTTAGACTGCGTAAAGAAGTCAAAACTATGAGGATAGAATGGCTTCAAGAAAAAAAGAAAGAAAGGCAACATCTCAAAAAAATTCTGGAAACATGGCGTGACTTGAAAATAATAAGAGAAAAACAGGGTTACATTAGTTCTATTTATAAACTGAGGATCGTAAGTCGAGACGAGGATGATCATGATTGGGACAATGAGCTTAAGGCGTTAGTGTATTTATTCATCATCATTATATTCTTGGTCAATGTCAATTAATTTTTTTCATTTTTTTAAATCCTTTTCTTCTCGTTTTTATTAAAATATAAACCACATTTTGTTCTATTTTTCTGTAGGTATCTAGATGAATTATTGGAAGAAGCAGAGGAAGAATATAAAAGTGAAATGGAAGAATACCAAGAAAAATTGAAGAAGTGGAATAAATTGAAACAGAAAAAAGTATTTACACACCATAATGGGGAATGATAAGTTTTATAATAATAAATACAAATTTACTTTTTTAAATTAGTGACCTTGATACATACAAAACACAGATGACACACTTACTTACTAATCCTTCATTTTTCATGACTATTGGCTTGATTTTCTGATAGACCTCTGAACTGATTTCATTCTTCTTCTTCTGGCATTACAGAACAAACAGTCCTCGATCTTCAATATCTGCTGCTACACGAATCTATCCTCTGTCAGATGTCCAATTGTCCATTTCCACTTTCTCCTACCATCATGCTCTGTCATACCTTTCCTCTGATGGCAAACAAATTTTCTTCACAGACCTTCTTCACCTATATGTCTTCATTAATACCAATCAGCCTAATCATTCTTACTTCATTGACAGGCAAAGATCGCTATAAAATCCATGAATCTTTCCTTTTTCTGCTTCACCACATCTCATTCTCTCCCATGTAGCATCCACCTCTTGAACTTTTCAAGCTAGTCATATATTGTCTTGTCCTAAATCAATTTATACTTTATTGTCATTAAGCACTGATTTCATTGTTAAATGAAACAATTTAATCTAAATTTGTGTCACTGAATTTAAGCGTCCTGATCAATTTTTAATTTTAATTTAATTATTTCTTATTGATTAAGTTTGTAAATTTGAATAACCTTTAAACTGCAGTATTTAATATCTAGAGAGAATTCTTAATTTACTATAAGATTAAAAATATGCTTCATCAATTCCGTAATACAGGTTTGACTTCTGCCCTTATTATATTTTGTAATAGTCCTTCTATTATTATAGGAAGAAGGAATAAGTTCTGAAGACGAGGTAGAATCTTTTCCTGAGGTCGAATTGAAAGAACCTACGAAACCGAAAAAGCTTAGAGTATCGACACTAGAAACAATGATAAAAGAAGAGTTATCAGAATGCTTAAGACCACCTGGCGAACCAGCAATTGAAGTTTATTTATTGGAAGATTTAAATATAACACAAAATACTGAAAACGCTATGTAAGTTATCTTATTTCTTTACCTTTAATTTAGGTTTTTATGTAGGAAAAATTTAGGATTGTAAAAAAAAAAAACTTTTATGCGGATGGTTTAATATATCTACTATTATAAAATATAAGGTGAAACTATACATTTTTATACATATGTAAATATTTGAGATGTATCATACTACTTCCAGAATAAATTGGGAGGAAAATTAAAAATGAATATAAAAAGTGTATAATAGTATTGACCTACATAAGGAGAATCATATCACTTCTTCAAATCACAATTTCAATTTTAATCAATAACAAAAAAAAAAGGAAATGGCCTTTTCTGAATAGAAAGCAGTAAATGTCTAAAACTTTACTACTCTGCAACGAATCGATCTTTTTTGATGATTTTTTTTTTTATTTTGTAGGGAATTCTGGAATCATTCAAATGAATATGGGTATTATTAAACAAAAATTGTGTACTTTTTTTAGTTATCAGCAAATGAAATATTGAATTCATCGTAACATTTTTTCAGCTTGTTTTCGGGAAAGTATGTTATACACATAAATTAAAAGAGTTTCAAGGGGAAGACTTTAGCTTTTGTTTTGTTAAAATCGTTTTTTTAAAATCGTTAAAGCCGTTTTGGCGCTACAGTTTATAGTGACACGTTTTTCAGCCGCCATTTCGAAAAGAAAGGCCGGATAGTAATAAAATTTTCATAAAACACTCCTGAATTCAATTCCAACGCTGTGTCAAAATTTCAAAGCAATCGGTGAAAAACTTTCGGATAATAGCGGCTTTGAAAACAAAAAAATTTACATCTTTATTTTTTTACACATATAAAATTATCATAAGACGGAAGTACTATGCCAGAAACCTTTGCGAGAGTGTACGCAACAACTTTCCAAAGTTCCATGGCGATCTGATGAATACTAATCAACTTACTAACATTTTTATAGTCAAGCAAATTAGGTTTGCCATTAGCCTAAAATGTTATTCTTTATGTAAAAGTTTTTCTTCACTTACTCGAAGCAAAGTTGTAATTATTAAGTTCTGAACACACTCAAGCATCAAAAGCCTAGACATGGATAGTCTGATCATCTGACTAAATCATGAAGAGAATTGGGCATAATAATATAGTCTTGATAAACTTCACTTGTTGAAAGTAGAAAAAATATAAAGAAACAAATTATAAACTTTTCTATATTAATTCTTAATTTTATCCAATTCTGCCATTGATGTAAATAAGTTTTACAGTCATGAAAATACTACAATTTATTAAAGAAGAAAAATAAATAAGTATATTTATTTTTAATTTTCTTTTTTGACTGATCACCCCAACCATTCTTCTCTTCAATTCACTACAGACAACTATCGATCCATAATTACAATTTGTTAAATTAATTATCAGAAACTCCTAGACTGTTGTGTGTATTTTTTAAGGGAAGAAGAAAGACGAAAAGTAACAAAACAGTGCCAAATTGCTGTCTCTCTCCAGGTAAATGGAAAACAGGTAGATAAAGCTACTGGAACTCAGATGGATGAAATGTTTACATCTCACTTAAATCATAGATTCTGTCTTAAATTACAATCCCAGCCTTCTAGTCTGTCTCTACTGATTACTGAGGCCGGACATCCAAATCTTTTTGGTAAAAAAATTATCGCTCAAATTTTCATACCAATACCAGGAAGGTGAGTAACTCATAATATTGACATGATAATAAATAGTTTTAGTTTTATTGACCAGTCTTAGTGTATAGATTTTACTAATATTAGGTATATGAACATATAAACAAGGTTAAATTTATATCATCCTAAAGGAAGAAAATTTAAAAAAATAAAGGCAACAAAGTAAATGGATAAAAGTACATCTACTTTTTACTTAATTCATTGATCTATTCCACTACTGTAAGACTGGAACAAATGAATGAAAAAATGGGGAACTTGCTCTAAGAGGCAAAATTTAGAGGATGGCGAATTTCAAAACTTTTTTACCTTAAGAAACATTTTTTTTCTAATTTTTTGTTGTTATGATCTTAGTTTAGTCAATGACAGTTAATATTAACTGACAATGATATTTATTTCAAAATGCATTACAAGCAATACAGATATAAAATGTTAGCTTTTATTATAGACAGTGGGAGATGATAGAATAGGCAGCTCCTGCTGGCAAAAATACTTGTTCTGGGCCTATATTAAAAAAAAAAAAAAAAACCTGTACCACTACAACCCATGAAGGGTCTGGAGCTCAGTACTATTTAGGGAAAAATACTGTTTCTAGGTCAACGGTTGTGCAAGGAGGTGATTTGACCGAGATCACGCTCCACCGTTAGGTTTTCCCTTTTAATCAATTATTTAATTAAGGGTACCCACTTTATAGAGGCTGGGTGTGCCACAGGAGGGACTCCCAAACCCAGGGTCGCCCCACGGCCAATGAAACAGATAAATAAATTTTCTGCCATGAGCCGGGGTTCAAACCTGGGACCTTTGCATTAGAAGCTCAGTGCCCTACCACTGAGCTACCCCACTCCCTGGGCCTATATCATTAGAGTAAATTGTAGCATTAGACCATTAGTATAGTAATTTACTACTTTCAGATAAAGTACTTTATTTTTATGGCAATGCTTGTTTATAATTATTTTTTAGAATAAATACTGATTCTGCAGAATGGTGTGACTATGAATTCAGCTGTGGGGAACGTGTAGGACCTTTTAAGCACACAGGTATAGGTTGTGGACAACTAGAATTAAATATTGGTGAAGAAAAGACTTTATATACAAATGGCCTATTGGCTGTCCGTGCGGGCTGGGCTGACCCTCTGCCTAACATTCTTCACCAACCAAAGTAAGTAACAATTAATTGAAAAATTATTTCCATCAACTTTTTTTTTTTCACTAGAATTTTATAAAAAATGAATCAGATTTAGCTTGTTTAATCTAAGCATTCAATTCTGAAGCTTATATTAATGCCTATTTCAGGCCAAATAAAGTGACAAAGCCATCACAGAATAATATTCAAAAATTAAAAGAATGGGTAGAGGAAGTTCAGTTAGATCCGAATGATCCCAACAATGCGGATTTATTTGAATACTTAAAGGTAGGTACATTTTATTTTTTTCTTAACTCTTTTCTTTCCTTACCAAGTTCATCAATATTCTATTTTTTAATAGTCAGAAGAAAATAAGGAACCAAAAACCAATACTTGTAATATAATGGAGTTCTGTTCAGAAGAAGAAATATTTGAAAATCCGAGATTTAAATTGCTTATGCTCAGACATGCTGGGCAACCAGAATTCAGAACTATGCGAATGATACCTTTAAATGAGAGAGAGATCCCAAAGGACATTTTTAAAGTAAGAATATCAATGAATAATTTGCAAAAAGGAATAGGTATTTCATAATAAAAAATTCTTCTTTGTGCTTTGTCTGATACATAGCTAGCAGTAAGGATTGTTTTTGGATTTGAAACATTTTATCTTAACTTGATAATAGTATATTCCTAGATTTGGATTATTTGATTTGATGACATATCATCAAAATTATCCACTGAATATTTGGTCTTAAAGGTCTTACTTAAAGATAAGCTGTTATGATTTTATGTAATAATCATTTTTATGACTTTTTTTTATTATGAAATCAAGTAAATGCTTATTTTCAGTCAATTGTCCACAGCTTACTGGGTTGTTACAAAAGTCCTCATGCATAAGTGTAGCTTTATTTCTTTTTACATATTTTAAATGTTATTGAATACTACTCTTCAAAATAAAGTCCATTGTTTTCAACTAGTTTTACCCATCATTCTACCAGTAATTGCATTTGAGGCCAGTACCACTCTTCTGGTTTCGAGACAAAAAACTTTTGACATCCAATTTTTATGTCCTCATAATTATCAAAAATCTGACCTTTTAAATGTTGAGCCATTGATCTAAACATGCCATAACCTAATGGAGCAATATCTGGGCTATATGCAGGATGAGGCCAAACATTAACTGCTTGCAGTTCTGATAACTTTTCCTTGGTCAAAAGAAAACGATGTGCAGGAGCATTGTTATGTTATAAAATTACTTGGTTCCCGTTGACCAAAGTGGGATACTTTGCAATAAAAACTGTATAAAATTTGTCTAGCTTTTCACAGTAAAGGATTGAATCCACTGCCCGACCATCAGGAAAAACCTCAAAATGCAAAATACGGTAATTATTTAGATGAGGACCGCACAGGTTACGCGTGGCTCACAATCACTTCAGTCACACTTGTTCATGAAACGCCAAAAACAGTCTTTCGGACAAACCCGGATGCACTCGGCACTCCATGGACAAGTGTGATGGAAGTGATTGTGAACCATGTGTAACCCGTGCAGTCCCCGTCTAAATAATTACCTAAAATACCTTCAAAGTTCTACCAAACACCAAGCATCACTTTTTTTATCAAACCAATCTTGACGAACCTCTAGTTGTGCAGCTCAACCATACCGGTTCCACTGTTTATGTTTGCTAGAGTTTTTTAATAATATCAATGCTCACTCATGATAATTTTTTTCATAACATGCTATCTTTCGGATTTTGAAGCAAATTTCTACAAATATCAACTCACAACTGGACTTGGGCTTCTATCAAGTCATATGAGTTGGAGTTTGATCTTAAATTTCATTTACCCAGGTCTTAAAGATGACGAGCTACTGTGACATTAGAAGCCTCTCCTGCTGCCGATTAATCATGAGTAGTTGCTTGTGGGTCCTGGTGCAAACATTCAAGAAGACGATGAGCCACCTCTTCTGTGTTCATCTGCAAGGCTCTTATTCTCATTGTTTAAGCATCTGAACCAAAGTACAACAGTATTTCGATGGATAGCTGACTTGCTTTCTATAGCATAAATTTCTTCAGCGATTGTCTTTGAGCTTAGACCTTTTTTCCAATAATGTCTCAAAAGACTGCGACTATTTCGGACATTGAACACGTGTTTTGAAAATGTAAATGACTCAATAAAGCCAACTCAAGTCACAGGGAACTTGAGGATTAGTCATGGTAAACATTGACATAAATAACAGGAACAGAAACATTCTAATAGGATTAATTATGAGAGTTGGAATTAAGGGTTGTGTTCATCCACAAAGACTCTTGTAACAACCTAGTATTACTGGTATTGTTGAGAGTTTCCTTTCTTTATTTTTTTTCATGCATTGAAAGAAAAATAATAAGCTGATTAGTTTTTTAAAAACAAACATTATTGTACCTCTGGAAGTCCTACAAACGTTATTTGAAATTGGCTGTACAATTTGTGTAATAAATTATTGATAACTACCTGACAATGAAATGAATATTGAAAGTTTTAATAAGAATAAGAGTATATAAACTGAGATGTAATAGAAAAATTTCAATAGCTGTCATCCAGCAGTCATATCATGTTCCTACCCTGAGGTTCACAAGAATGATTTAAAAATTTAATAAATATTTTTAATTTTACCATTATTTATTTTATTACTACTTTTTTTATGGCAGTATTTAGACTAGTTAAATACTTATCTCATATGAAATATCAGTTTTTAGATAGCATTAATAAATATAAAAAATTATTTATTATTCAAAATATAATATACTAGTTTCTGTAAACTTTCTAATTTACAGCATGATTTTTATATTTACTCAAATATAAAAATATAAAATAATTAAATGTTTTTTATAGCACAACCACAATTTATAAGATATTGGGTAATTTTTTTCAAAATTGGTCTAAGGACCTTAAAATATGGTAATAAACATTTTTAGAAATAATTACTTTCTTTCAATAGTTATATGAGAAAAGAATTAGTGGAAGGCAAAAAAAATCTAAAGGGGGAAGTTTGGAACAAGAGCGAGCTTGGGCAAGAGAATATATTGAGCAAGTGAAGGAAGAAGTATTAAAAAAAAGTAAGCTTAACCAAGCGAAAACCTTCACAGATATGGTTCATGAAGAACCCGTACCTGATTTAGGGTAATTTTAATAACTCTCTAAAATGACATTTTGTATTGAGATATCGTATTTTTGTAACAATTTAATAAGCAGTTAATTTTAAACTTTTTAAAGCACTTTGGGCTTAACGTTCATGAAATTTCTGCAACCAAAGAGACCTCTTCGTCCAAGGAGAAAGAAAAGGAAAAAATATCCTGTAAAAAGCCTTGCTGGTCAACAGTTAGAGGTAATGTTCCATTAAACTATTTTATCATTTGAAATACTTGGGGAAAAAATTAATTTATTTCAAAACAAGTGTTTAGAAGGAGGATAACCTTTATTATTAAGACTTCATTAAGTATGCAAATATTTGTAATAAAATACTTAATTTATGAACAGCATATTAAAATCAAGTGTATACTTCTTAAAACAACTTTATACAGTACTCAGTTGGGAAACCATCCCTCCCTTTAGTATTTGACTGAATTTAAGAGAAAGTATATTTATCACAGGCTCAGATTTGTCTTATCAAAATCAGTGTCTTTATTAATCATAATGTCTCATGTATTTGTTAATTTTCTAGATAATAATAAATATTGGAAGAGCTTTTGAAGTTCCAGTCAGGAAAGATTCAAATGAAAGAAGTAATGATGAAAGCTTTTCTGTTGTTCCTGTTCGTCCATTCATTGAAGTAACATTTCAAGGAGAAAGAAGAAGAACAAATACAGCAGAGGGTGCCAACCCAACTTGGAATCAGGATCTCCATATCCCAATTGAGTGAGTACTTCTTAAGGATAATTATCCATCTCTGAAGGTCTCGTTTAATAGTGTCTACCAAATTAGCTAATAATTATTACATTAATAATAAAAGGCTTAGCGAACCTGAAGGTCGTGCAAAAAGCAGTGGTGTGAAGCCAACACCACCAATCGCTTGTTACACACCTCCCTCCATTATTCGCTGTCCAAACCCAATCGCTCCAGATTGGCTTTAACACAATTTTCACCTTCGCTTCGGTCTACCTCTCAGACGTTTGCCATTCAATACAGCAAATATTAACCTTTTAGGAATTCTTTTGGTACTAAGCCCAACAGTTTTACAAGCCCATTTGATTTGTCGTAATTTAATCATCTCAATTAAATTAACCGGATACAGTTCACACATAATAATACGCACGCACGTTTTATAATATGTTTTAACACATAATAAAATGAACTGCATAATGGCGCTCAACAGATCCATTAATGGTCACAATGCTTCAAACTAATTAATAAAAAAAAAAATCATTGATCATTCTTGTCAACTGCTTTTTTTATTAAAACAAAAAGTAAATATGATTTTTTGTTTGTTTCAATATTTCAGTAACCCTCATCCAAGCTTTAATCCAGCTGCTCTTCAATCTTTCAAAGAATCAATTCATATCCACCTTTTTGATGAAAAATTAGTCGATATTATAGACGATGATCGACTCAGAGAAACGAATATACACCAGAGACTTGAAAAACATTGGTTGGCCAGCCTGAGGGTCCCATTTGCAGCACTCTATTCTAACACTAGGGTATCACAGACTGTTTTTTTTTTTCTGCTTTGTTATTATTTAATATGTAAGGATTCGTGCAAAAAGAAATTATGTCTTCTCAAACTCCAAGTTTAATTAAAAAGATTATTTAATATTATATCCTATGAAGGATATTATTAATTCATAATCATTGTTATTTTATTCCAATTCCAATTATTGATATTAATTGCTTCAAAATCTTTAATTCCAGCCTAAAATTCTTTTTTCTCACTTTTCACTTTTAATTCTTTTTTTGCAAATTGAATTCCATAAAATTTAAAACAAAATATGGCTTTAGATAATGATTTGGTGAGCATCCTATTGGCCTTTTATAAATTTATTTCATTCAATATGTTGAATCAGATTGAAGGAACTTTTCAAATGTACTCACCACCCGTACTCCTCGGTTATGAAAGAGAGTCAAAAGAATTCAGAGATTCGACGTTTTTAACTATGTTTCTAATAGTTCATCCACCATTACATCCTCCATCCCCTTTTCAGGTAAATATTATATTATGTAATCATTAATTATCATTTTTTTTTTTTTTTTTGCTTTTCTTGTACATTTTTATTATAAAAATGAAATCTTACAATCCAATTATGTATGTTTTAAAGGAAAAAATTGAAAGTAGTGAAGAAGTATATTTAGAACAGCATGTTGAACACTGGTTAGCTGAAGTAAAGAAAGCGTTTCCTAACAGGTATGTCCCAGCTCTCGTTATGGACTCTTCTGGGAAGTCAGTTTGTGTCACTAGATTCTTCAAAGATATCAAGCCTCCTGGTAAATAGGATTGATTTAAATATAATAATTCTCTTAAAGAATATATTATTAAAATTTCATTTTAAATAATCCCTAATCAAAATTAGTGCACCATTTTAATATTCCATTTTGTTTATATTGGAGGTGTATAATTAATAATTAAACATTACAAACAGAAATTAGCCATAAAAATAGAAAAACTGTTTTTGTTTTTTTTAAATCCCGAAAAGATAGCCAATTTTATTTTAAATTAAATTTACGTTTTCACAAGTATTTATTGTTGCCTTCCCTGGCCATGAACCAGAACATTCCTTGAAATTGGGTAACTGGAGATCAACCAGAAGAGAATGTGAAGAAACTAATGAATTCCATTTTACAAACAAATAAACATGAAGAGATTTAGTGGATTTATTAAATAAAATTTTTTCTCACAAATCTAAGTGATGTGCTAATTTTGGTATTAAACAGTAATAGTAATGTACTAACATAAACAAAAATTCAATAATTACATATTTTAGAATTTTCACCTGATATTAATACAACTCCTGAGATGGCTGCCAGATATGTTGCAATGATTCCCATAATTTCTGGAAATATGCTTTATCCTGGTTACTTAGACGTCTGGTTGACTGCTGATGTAAGAATGATTTAAAAACAAAGTGAACAATATTTCTCACTTACCTATTAAACGTTTCTACTAAATTTTATTTATTCTTAATTACATTTTTGCAGCAAGTACTTGGCTTGGGAACTTGTGAGAGTTGTTCGGCTGCTACATTGCTTGCCTGCTTCCTGAGAGGTTTGGGCCTCCAGACGTGGCTTCTGGTTGGTTCTAGCCTCTCTTCGGGCCCAGTGCTGTACATACTGGCCAGATCTGGAGGTGATACCACCATTTGGGATCCCTCCACTGGCCGCTCTTACCCTACGTCTCATCCATTCTCTCCTTTATATCGAGTCTACTGCCTCATTGATGATACAAATGTGAGTATTAAAATCCACTAGAAAAGAGAGTTTCTTGGAGGAGTAGGTAATAACTTGGACCAATAACAAAAAATTGTTTAGATCTGTAATAGCAGTTAAGCAGTTATTTTCTCCTTTGAATTTTAAAATCTTTTTGTTTTAAATAAAATTTATACCCCAAGAATCAAAGTGAGCTGGTTTCATGGTTTTTAATGATTTTTACATTTTTAGTAGGCAATAAGGTTTTTTTATTAATTTTGATGTAAAAAAACTATACATTAACTCTATGATATTAAAAAAATAGTTTTAGAAAAAGGATTTAAATACTGAGAATGAAGAACAGATTAGAAGTAAAAGACTAGATGGTATTATTGTTTTCTGTTTGCTTGTAATGTATAAACTAAATCATTACAAAAAAAAAATTACCACACATCTCCCAGTTTTGGGCTCAGTACTTAGTAAGAAGATACAGTTTCATAACCAATGGTTGTACAAGAAGGTGATTTCAGCAAGATCAACTGCCTGTTTTTCCAAATAAAATTATCCACTCATTAAAGAGGTTAGATGTACCTAGAGAGTCGATTAATGGCTGGTATAACTGTATAAATAATTATCTACTACAGCCAAACTCAAATTTGTACCAGTAAAGAGTAGTATTTTGATAACTTATAAATCCAAACACAATAAATCAGGAAGTTACAAAATCTGTTAGTCATTTAAAAATGTCTACATGACTGCTATTGTAAGAATAATTTAAAAACAAAGTGAAAACTTGTCCTTAACTTATCTATTAAACATTTCTGACTAGATTTTATTCAATTCTTAATTACATTTTTGCAACTTGGCTTGGGAACTTGTGCAGAGTTCAACTGATATCAATAAAATATTTTATTACATGATCTGGCAACCATTTAGCTTTTTTGTAATTCTTTAACTGTCATTTAATTTACACTCTTCATTTCTGACATACATATATATTTTTTTTAGTGATAGATTTATAGTAACAACTATAAGGAACAAAGATTCACTAAATTCAAAACTCCACATCTCTCCAACAAATAATCCGATTTCAATGTTTTTTTATATCATAGAAAAAACTTATCTTTAAAAACAGTACATAATTAACCAACAAAAAATTGCATACTTTTTTAATTAATCGCAAATAAAATTTTGTTATTATCAGAACTTTTTTTCTAATCTTTTTTGAGAAGTATCTTAATAAATAAATAAATTTATAGGGTTTCATAGGTAATAATTTAATAATATCTTTAGGGAAGTTTTTATCAAAAATTTTTCTACTACCCGCCGTTCCTACTAGACGGGGTTTCGGCAGTAGTGGATCGATAGGTTGATTACTGAATATACTTTGATTAAACTGAAAATGCTTTATTATAAATTTCTTATTTTACAATATCAAGGGAGATTTAAATTATGGGAACATTGCAATGATAGATTCAACTGTGGTGCGGCCTGATGCATGGATGTGTACCTTACCAATTGGGCCACACCTTATCCTCTGCTGGAGTGCATGCCAGCCCTCTAGGTCCGCCCCATCCGTATCGATAGCCGATCATCCTTCCTGGTCCACTGCATCATTCGGTCCTCACCTATCTTCTTGTTTCTCATTTTCACGTGGCTCACCGATATTAGGTGGCGACGTTCTACCAAGATGAAGTGTGAAGGGCCCACTACTTCCTTCCACCCGTAGACAAACTCTCTGAAGAAGAGGTAGTTCTTCTCTTCCATCAATCAGGAGAAGTTCGTTTCAGCTCGAGGGAGAAGATGCCCATCTTTCTCGACAACCTGGCATGGTGTCCTTCCATGTCAGTACAGGATACCACAACCATTTTAATCAAAACTATTAGAGCCGTTTTAGTGCTGCAGTCTATAGAGTTGAACGTGGTAATAACAACCTCCTCTCCCCATCCTCCTAAGGCAACTTGATATAGATACAAAATTTAAACCTTCCATCTCTATTAGAAACTGTAGATATATTCTATACTTGAGCATACTTTCTGATTTTTTGGTTAAGGTCCGAGTCTGTCACCCATATATAAACATTGGCCTTAACTATGATTTTGTAAATAAGAATTTTGATTCTTATATAGGAAACTAAATTTCAAATCTGTTTGCAATAAGAAATATCATCTATTTCCTGCTGTTATCCTGGCCTGTACTTCATTCTCTACTTTGTTATCGTATATAACCAGGCTTCCCAGGTATTTGAACTGGATTACAGACCTGAAGTTTCGATCTCTGAAAGTCAGTTCCCTATTCCCTTCATTTTCCTTTCTTGAAATTTTCATATACAATGTCTTAATTTTATTAATCCTAAGATTCAGTTTAGCTATTGCCTCTTCAAATTCTTGGAATGTTCCTGATAATGATGTTTGGGCATATGCTAGATGTTGAGACAAACAATTGTAGATGGTTCCTCCAGGATTTGTTCTGATAGAACAAATAGCAACTTCCAGAGCTAGATTAAAAAGAAGGGGAGATAGAGGATCACCCTTTCTCATCAACCTCCAATTCTTCTTCTCTGTATATTAGTAAAGCAAAAAAAGTTCTTGCCTATTGATATTTTCAAACTAGCAACAGTAACAGTTCAGTTATTTAATTATACTTATTTCAGTTTAAACTGACAATTCAATTCAAAATAAAATATTAAATTAAAATGTTTACATGTCCAATTAAATTCTCAATTTTTGATGGAGTATGTTAATGGAACGCTTGAGCAAAAAAACATGAGAAATGAAATGCCATAAATGGCGAATTCCTATTTCCAAATAAATTTATTTTAAGTATAAATCTTTTACAAGAAAAACTTTTGTTTTCATTTAATAACTGTAGCTGTTATTTTTTATTAAATTTAAATGAAAATTTAATATTTATAACAGGTGACTAATGTACCATGTGTAAATAATTTCTTTCTTCTATATTTTTTTATATTTATCATTGTTAAATACCAAATCATAGTGGAGTTGATTTAGAATTTTAAATCTTCCATGTAAAGTCAATAAATAAAGTTAAAAAAAAGAAACATATTTTTTCACTCAAAAATGATCTCAAATTATCATAAACAGATATATAAAAACCAAGGATGCCATACAAAAATGAGTACTACTGAAAGTAGATTAGCCAGAACGTTAGCTATTGATAGTGCGGATGAAAATGATGATAATGATGTTTCAATTCATGAAAAAAAGGTGGTTTTAAAAGCTCCTCGCACAAGTTGGAAAGTACAAAATACTCAGAAACTGAGCACAATGATGGCCAAATTGAAGAAAGATATTACTGTTGTAATGAATTATGGTGGAAGGGGAAATGAGGAAATCAGTAAACACCGCATTTTTTTAAGATTAGATCTCCTTAATACATACATTGAGCAAGTGATATATATTAAAGATGTGATAAAAAGGGGTGGAACAATATTTCCAGAAAGTTTGTTTGTAATGCAGAAAAAAACTAATGATACTTTAAACAAAATTAGAGAAGAAATTTTTAAAGTGTACTTGGAATTGGAAACAGAAGATAAATATAAGATTGCCAGACAAGGTGGGCAGATGACTTGTATTTTTACACTTTTAGGTATTATTGAAAGAGAACTTTACTCAACATATGCAAAGATTTCTCAAGCCATTGATAAAAGAAATGAACATAGGAACAAAAATAATAAGGGTGCTACAGAATTGTTTGCTACATTTAGATCCCTACCAACATTGAAATCTTCAAAACAAAAATCTAAAGAAAGACTAACATATAATCAAAAAAATAATAATAGAGAAAATTATATTAATAATTCTGAGCCTGATCATATTCCTTCAAAAAAACAAATAGCTTCTAAGAATATTGTTTATGATCATCCAATAAAACATCAAGTTACTGAAATAACTAAGAATACAGATTTGGTTGACAATATTTTGAAAGAATCAACGGATTCACGTTTGCGTAATTTAGAGGAGGATAATTATTGTGTAGTACAGCAAAATTCTGATAATGAATTATATGAAGATTGCACTGGTCCTGAAGAATTAGAAAATCAAGAATATAAAGCAACATCATTTGAAATAAATATTTCAGATGAAAACATACAAATCAAAATTCCAACAAGTGTAATTTATCTTGTACGAAATAGTAACTATAACAGTTTCTCAAAAAATGATATTGATCAAGATAAAAATTCAGAAAATAGAAGAAGTGTTGAAACTTGTTTCAGTTGTTCATATCCTAGTTCTAAGTGTTCAGTGTGTAATTTGCACATGGAAAAAACTATCAGTGATGAGTCTATCTCCTCTTTGTATACTGACATTATTACTGATTCTGAAGTAGGCATAGAATCAAAAAAAAAAAGTTACAATAGTAAAAAAAGAAGTAAGTTTATTAATCATGGCAAATGTATGCCATTTTTTTCAGAAAATTGTTATTGTAATTCATTCAGTAAAGAAAACGAATCGATGAAAAGTATTCACTCAACTGAGATTAAAGTTGACAAGGAAGGAATAGAGAAATGTACAGAAAAGGGCCATGTTTTTCCCGTTGTGAAAAAAAATGGAAACTTGACCAGCGAATATCAAAATAATATTTGCAGTTTAGGTAATCCATTATTTGGGAATATTCTACAGCTAGTTGACCTTATTAAGAAAATTTATTGTAATTGTAATGACAAAACAATTTTTGGCTGTAATGAGAATCTTGAAATAGTGTCCAATATTGATGAGACCAGTTCTCTGACAAGTACTCTCTTACGTCGTTATAATGACTGCCCTCCTTCTATTTCTCAGTCCTCATTTGAATGTTCGAGCTTATGGAAAGAAAGTGCAAGTCGTCTGTGTGAGTTATGCCCTGGTTGTGTTAGTTTTGTAAAATTATCCTAGTGAAGTTGCACAAAGTACATTGAATGAAGAAAGAAAACAATTATATATAGTTAGGAAAAGATATTAGGCAAAAGTTGCTAATGATATCTGTTTAACAATAAAAGTGCTTATTTAATAACTGGTTATAGCCCTAAAGACTTTGATATGACCACAAATTTATGACATATCTTCTGATTTTATCGGCATTCGATTTTTGTAAAAATGACTGGATTAAAACTTTCCTAACAAATATATAAAATAGAGCCTGTTTCGGGTTAAGTTAATTAAATTGCAGCAGCATATTTTGGTCATAGATCTGAACTGACCTAATGTGAAATAGTCACAAAGTTAATTGTTTAAGTTGATAAAACATGAAATAACAATAAATGAAAAAACCTCATTCACTCTAAATAATAAATTGATTTATCACTGATTATTTTTAAAATTAATTTTCTGCTCAGTAGATTATTTTATTTAATATTGTTGAATGAATTTTCCTACATCATTAAACCATTAACTCTGAAGTCTCTGGTGATTTTCTGTAAAACTAGTTTTCCACCCTCCTAGCCTTTTCCTAACTCCCTATCAGACATAAATTATTTTTAAAAATCTTTCATCGCTCATGTTTTAAACTTTAGGGGAAAGAATTATCATCTCTCTACATTATTACTTATAACTCACTTAGATATATCAGTGGCTCAGTTCAAAACTGAAACAACGGTTTTCAGTTTTCTTCTTCATATGGACTGTAATCTCGTCTTCATAGTACAAAACCAAGGCCTATTAAAACTACTTAATTTAACTATTATAATGTAATGATATATAATACCTAATTTATTCAAAAGTCATAAGGGAGATGTTTATTTATCTAAGGTATATGAATAAAGTTAAGTAACAATTTACTCTCCCAACAAATTTTTTTTCTTTATTTTTATGACGTTTCGGGATCACATTTATTATCCCGTCTTCAGACTAAAAACAAGAAACATTTGTTATTTGTATTTATATATTTTACTTTACAAATATTTTTATAACTTATAATATCAATAACAGATTTGCCAATCTTATCCATATCAAATCTTTCTATCATCTATTTTTTTTTTAAAAGAATTGTCATAATTTTTATTTCTTTACATTTTTTTATATAAATCATCCCCAAAAATACAATATTTTTTAAATTAAAAACTGTAAAAAAATAAAAATTATGACAATTCTTTTTTAAAAAAATTAGTTAGTATCAAGGTCTATAAAATTACCTATTATAATAAGAAATAAAATAGATAATAAAAATAAAAAAAATATAAGGACTAAATTAGGTATATGAATTAAGTTAGGTAACAGTTTACTCTACCAACAAATTTTTTTCTTTTCTTTATTTTTATAACGTTCCGGGAAACCAATTTACTATACCGTCTTCAGACTAGAAACAAGAAACATTTGTTATTTGTATTTATATATTTTACTTTACAAATATTTTTATATCAATAACAGATTTGCCAATCTTATCCATATCAAATCTTTCTATCATCTAATTTTTTTTTAAAAGAATTGTCATAATTTTTATTTCTTTACATTTTTTTATATAAATCATCCCCAAAAATACAATATTTTTTAAATTAAAAAATGTAAAGAAATAAAAATTATGACAATTCTTTTTAAAAAAAAATAGTTGATAGAAAGATTTGATAATACGGATAATATTGGCAAATCTGTTATTGATATAAAAATATATGTAAAGTAAAATATATAAATACAAATAACAAATGTTTCTTGTTTCTAGTCTGAAGAGGGGATAATAGATGGGTTCCCGAAACATTATAAAAATAAAGAAAAGAAAAAATTTGTTGGTAGAGTAAACTGTTACCTAACTTAATTCATATACCTAATTTAGTCCTTATATTTTTTTTATTTTTATTATCTATTTTATTTCTTATTATAATAGGTAATTTTATAGACCTTGATACAGAACTGCACCATTTCAAAATGCCTTTAGCATCAGTATAAAAGTTGTTTCATTTATTTTTTTTAAAGTTATTGTATTCATCTAATGGAAGAATCACATTTATTTGGATGGCAAAGATTTAATTTTCTTTTTTATCGATTTATTCACTATATCCTGCTTTGAAAGTTATGAAAATGCATGCATAGCTGATTAATGCCCTTTTAACTCCTTTTTTTGATCATATAATCAATAAAGATGGGATTAAGTAACTGAAGCAACTATAGGTGATTTTATTTTGGTTTAGTCGTAGTATTTTTTTTTTTTTTTTTCCACTGTGGCAAGGAGCACCTCGGCCATGAAGTCCTATTGTGCGTCCTAACTAATGTTGTTCCTGATCAGAACAATATTTCCACAGTATCTACAAATTGAAGAAGGCTTGTTGTGGATTGACAAGCTCGTTGTCTCTAGGATCCAGAAATCTATGAATACCAAACAAAATCTTCACCCGGCAAATTTGTAGCACTAACAAGTGTTATGATATGCCGTTTCATCCTCCTGATCACAGAATTCATTAATTCAAAGGTTTCATGTAAAACAATATTACGATTTCTTTTACCATTATTACTAAAATACAAAAATACTGTTTCAAATTAGAGGCATGATAGAAACAAGCCATCTGCTATGCTTTGATACACCATTACATAGATTCTGTCTTAACAATGGTTGCAAAGTACTTGGACCTAGTTGCCTTAGTTCCATGATCCTTCTTCCAGTCTGACTTGGTTCAAAACTATGAGTACAGGACCAAATGTATCTGATTAAGTGAATAAAGTAAAAAAAAAAATTACATGTGCTGGTTAGATTTCGATAGCATAAAGCCATCTTTAGATAATATGTATCATTTTGCCAAAAAACATGTGTAAATCAGCCTATTTCTTTTAGTGGTTGATAGTTACAAACTAAAACAGGTTGCCCTAAAATATAATAGCACAGATATGGTAGAAATAAATTGTTTAAAAGCTTATATTATGATAATAGTTTTACTGTTTATTTCCTGTTGGCTATTATTGTAGTCTTACTCAGCACCAAAAGCAATTTTTTTTTGTAATATTCTTGGTAGCAAATGGGCAAATGCTATCAAGTTTGTCTTCAAATTAATAAAATGGTATTTTTAAAACAAAATAAAAACAATTGCACATTATCACCTTATTCTCAACAATACAAGCTTGAATTATTTTTAATTCAAAACTTTACAAATTTTAATTTAGCATAAGCTTTATGATTGTTTTAAGCGACAAATCTGATTTGTACTTTAGTTGCTTCAGATTTGTTTATTACCTAGAAAATTGTTGTTTTTTTATTTTTGTTTAATTTCAACCTCCCTCAAAATTTGAGGATCAGTCATTTCAAGGTATGTAGATTTTAAAGTACCAAATAAAAAAAAATATCTGTTCTCCAATACTATTGAAATGATTTTTTTAGAGTTGGATCAAAAATCACACGTCACTTCAGGATGATCCGCAAAATTCAACATTTACATCTGCCACTTAGTTTCAAATGGCAGCCATTTACAGGCTTCATATACCCATATCTTGGCCATTTATGTTAATCCAAACAATGTTTCAATTTTTTTTTTCAGATAGACCTATACATATATTTAGAAATAGTAATCCATTATATATATATATATATATATATATATATATATATATATATATATTTTTTTTTTTTTTTTTTATTTATTTAATATTTATTTGTGTTGAACAAGGAACCACATACAAATAGAGACTATCTCTGTATTAGAAACATTACTATCTTTATGGTATTACAATATTTTTTTTTCTTTTTTATGCTATATTATAAAAAAGTTATTTTAGTTTTTTTTTGTTTTGTCTAGTATTTGATATAAAACGGTGATCAGAATTCCTTAACTGTATAATTGAGATATATAAATCCAAAACATGACATATTTGCATGTTTTTTTTTTTCCACTTATTCAATCAAAAATAGTTTCAAAAGAATCAGAATGGTCTAGCAACTACTTTCAGCTACAATATTCAGACATTTGCTAATAAATGAAAAAAATAGACTTTTTAAATTATTCCTGTTTTTTTAGTACAAATTATTTGTTTGATATAATTCACTTTTCAACTAAAATATTAATAATAGAGCCGGTTGTTTAGTTACTTTTTTCAAGATAAAATTTTTTCTCACCTCTCCGTGCCTTTTCTCTGGCTTGATATCAAGTTACAGTAAAAACTGATTTTATAATCATTTGGAGATCTACAGTTTTCTTGAAAAATAAATACTTTCATCTATAATTCTATAGGAGAAAATCAGTTACAGAAGTGGTTCTAGCAATAAGTACATCTTTTTGAACCTACTAGGTCTTATCAAATTCTCTTTTCAATCAAATTGGAGATTTCCATTAATGGTAGCATGTTCTCACTTTTAAATTTCTTTTGCTTCAAAAACCACATCCTTCTTATATTAATATTCAAAAGTTGTTTGAAATATTCTCAGTTCATATTAAAATCCACATTTTAAAAATTGTGCTGATTTCACTTATGCCTGATTCATTTTTACAAAAAAAATGTGTACAGATTTGGGTCAACAATCAGAAGGATGACTTATTGTCTTCAACAAGTTTAGATTTAACGAAAAGGTCAGACTGGTGGCCAGCCTTTGGTAGGAGTGTTGGTGCACCTGTCGGTTCAGTTCAACCAAATTCCCTTGTTTATAAACCTACTGCTGATAGTAGAGCTTTAGAGAGCAGATTGGAAAAAATCCTTCGAAATGCAATCATGAAGCTACGCCCCACTTCCAGGTATTTATTATAAAATCTTTCTTTTTATTAAATAATATTAGATATAATGTTATCACCTTTTATATGTTTTATATTTACGTTGTACTATATTTGAAAATACCTTACTAAAATAATGTTCTATTATTATTATGTGGCTCTGCAATCCACACATTAAGTCTAGCCTTGCTCCAAGTAACTGACCGCCATTTATCTCTGTCTTGTGCTGATGCCTTCTAGTTACAAATGCCAAATATTGATAATGCATCGGTAGTAACAAAGTAATCCCATCAGAGCATAGGGCGTCCAACCTTCCGTACTCCAAATAGTTTCCTTGATAGGACTTTAGATGAGATTTCCTCTGGATCCACTTTAGTGACATGACCCGCCCGTTGCAATTAAAAGAATTCAACCACGTCTAAGTCCTTGTATAGACTCCAACCACTTCTCAACTCCAGGTTTATTCTTCTTTTCTAGTCTTCGTTTACATATGCGGTCCCTTAAATTCTCCTCAGGATCATTCATTCTGGACAGTACCAGTTGCTTTTGAAATGCGAAGGATTTCACAGATTAGCAGCCAGAATACGTCTCTCTATCCCTGCCCCAATGTCATTCTGGGAGTTCATTTGGGAGTCAGAGCAGACAAATCCTTCTAACACTTCTATCCTATGTGAGCCAAACTGAACAAAGCTTTCCTGGATCTCTTGCTTTGTATTTACACACATGTACTTTATTTTATCCATGTTTATTAGGAGCCCCGTATGCGCTCCTGTTACTTCCAGAGCTTCAAAAGCCTCCATGACTGCCTCTAGTGTTCTTCCAGCAAGATCCAGATCAAAGCATCCAAAAACCTTAACAAGTTTGTTTAGAAGTGTTCCTGTGGTCTCTAAACAACAGTTCCTCATAGCTGTCTTAAGCGTCAAGTTAAATACCAGACCGGCCAAATCATCCCCTGACTGACTCCTGTCCTTGTGTTGAATATATACACACACACACACACACACATATATTATGTATATCTATATATATACATAATAAATTCAAATTTTGTTCCTTAAATCTGTAATAAAGCTGTAATGAAAGTTATTAAAACATGTCAGTGATATCAATTCGCCAACTGTAGGAAGTTGACGGCTCAAGATGGGAAATGTCAGATTTTAAATATTTTGAAATGTTCATGAAGAACGAGACTAGACATGTTTATTTCAAGGGCCCAAAATTTGCCATTTTTGAGATAATGCATAATTCTCGTGATAGCCTCCTAGATGCCATAGGATACTTACCAATTACTCCTATAAGTTCGAATGTAAATCAAACATTAAGTTTGTTATTTATTTAAGTTAATATTTGTATTTTTAATTCAACATGATTTATCATTTAAAAGTTTCCAAATTTTTTAAACATAAAATTATTTTCAGAACAATATGGAACCGCTACTGCTCCTCATCCCTTAAAAAATTGTTACCTGGTCTGGAAAAAGCGGCTTGGTCTGGAGAATCTAATTCAACGCCTGATCACATTCAAGAACTGCAACATATTCTAGCATCTTACAAGGTTATTTGCTTTCAAGTTCAAAAAAAATATTGCTTTATTTAATAAAAATTATTAATTATGATGCTTAAGAAATATCATTTGAATATATCAAAGTAGGAACTTATAATAATTTATAATAAATTAAAATAAAAGAGAAACACTATTTATGCCTAATATATTAAGTGGATTTTACATTTTATTAGAATATGTTTAGAAATATCTTGTAAACAATAATTTATTTATTTTTTCAGATGTCTGGTTTTCCAATCAACATGCCCTACAGCAGTCCATCTGAGTTAGTTGATGCTGTGAAGTCTACAGGTGTTCATATGAATGATGCTCCTGAAATAGAGTTTTCTGTAGCTGTATATATTCATCCATTTCCAAATAATGTTATATCTGTATGGGTGTACGTTGCTTCATTGATTCGAAGGAGATAATAATTGTCTAATAGAGTTTTAAATTTTATTTATATAAAAAATAATATTAAACATTGTTATAAACTGTGAAAACATCCTGTTTAACTAATAAATCTGTTTTTAGTTTGCTATTTTTTTTTTTTTTTATTTTATTTATTTATTTATTTTTTTTCTTCTTGCTTGATAACCTTTGATCATTACCAGATAGTTTGTTTTCCATAACTGATATGATTTTTCTATGATTAAAATATTAAGATCTCTCTACTATTTCCAAGTAATTATTCATATTTATTAAGTATTCTGACTTAGTTTAAACTTTTATATTTTTCTTGAATAAGAAAAGTAAAATATTTAGTAATAACAATAAACATGGGTCCTTGTTGTAATTTAGTAAGGAGGATGTTATGGTAAACTGTGTCAAATGCTTTGGAAAAATCTAGAAGGATGAGGATAGTAAGGTTTCGGTGTTCAATGGAGTTTTGGAAGTCATAGGCCATTTTAAGGAGAGCGGATTGTGTTGAGTAACCAGGTCGAAAGCTAGAATGGGTAGATAAGGGAATATTCCTCTAGGAACTTAGAAAGTTGATTTTGGACAAGGAGTTCTAATGGCTTAGAAAGGTTGGAAAGGGGTCAGAAGTCCTGCAGTGAGGTAGGGTTGGAAATTTTATTCAAAGGTCGGACTAGGGCAGTTTTCCAGGAGAATGGGAATATGGAGTTTTGCAATGAAATGAAAAGTTGTAAATATGGTAAAGAACAGAAATAAGGACAGGAAGGCTGGATTTTATTAGTTTTACTGCAATATTATCAGGACCATAATCATTAGTGTGGGATTTAGGATAGCGGAAAGTAATTCATCCTAGGACACATGGGAGAAAAAGAAGTCTTCAGGATTGAAATTGTGATGTTTGATTTCGAAATCAGGAGAAGAATTGTGAATGAAGGATAAGAAATGGTCATTGAGATCATCTGGATGGAACTGAGTTTTATTGGATTCTGGTAGGGATAGGTTATGGAGTATTTTTATTTGGATTTGGAATCGGGAGCATTGGAAAGGGGATTATAAAAGTAAGTGGCTTTAACAAGTCGGATTGTGGATTGGGTTCCATTGCGAAGTTTTTTGAAAAACGCTTAATCAGCTGGCAAACGAGTTCGACGCTATTTGCGCCTTGCTGCATTCCTTCTTTTTATGCATTCCGTTTCATTTAACTGAAGGACTTACAGTTCGTAACCATTTTTAATTGTAGATAAACCTCGTCTGAGCTCACAACTTCGGTCTATCGATAGAATTCCGTTGCTTTCTATACGAAAATTTAAATTAAAGTGCTGTAATTTGATGTTTCATTTATCGGAAGAACTGACGGCTGGAATTTTTATATAGTGTAAACTTTACACTGTAAAGAATGGGTCCCTAAAATAGAATTGAAAACTCACGACGTCAAAATTATCGAAATAGTCAAGTAAAAAAAAAAAAAGTCAAGTTGGATGTGCGGAAAATTCAAATTTCAATTCAGGTTTCTCTTCGTTTTTCTTTTTTTTTTTTGGATGCTTAATCTGAATTTGAAGGTACCGAAAGAAATTTTCCATTACGTTCCGAGATATATACAAAAAATGGAGAAATTTCTGCACCTTTTTAGTTTTTTGATATGACTCCGAAACTATACATTTTATCAATATTATTATTCTATACAAAGTTAAAAAATATAAAATCTAACGATTTTTAACATTGCTTTTTATTGTAGGACCAACGATTTAGCAGTTGAATGTCTGCTTATTTCACGAGAAAAAGCTGTTTTCGTTTGGTTTTTCCCCAAAACCGATAATCTATGCATCTATCCAAGAAACCACTAGCGGATCCAGAATTTAATTTTGAGGGGGGCTTCAGCCCGAAACCTTTTTTTTTCATAAAAATAACGATAATTACTTTGGAAAAACAGAAAGAAACTAACTACCTATATGAAATGGTGTTTAAGTGATTCCTTAAGTGATTTTAGATGTAATTAGATTAACAATAATACTTTAAGAGGTATTTTTAAAAAAAAATTTCCCATAAAACATGGTTATATTTTTCCATTTTGGGGGGGGGGGGGCTTCAGCCCGAAAGCCCCCCCGTAGATCCGCCCGTGCAAGAAACTTATTATAATCATTTTGAAAGGGCATTAAATTTATTATAAACCTCATGGAGATAGGTTTATAGGCGAGAACGTAAATGTAAGGTATTGAAGACATTTTCCGAAGTATTATCTATGAGACCATGTATCCTTTGTGTAATAGGGAAGTTTGTCTCTGTGTTAACTAGTCCCTTTGCATGATTCAAAGTTTTTTATTAGTCCTCACTTTTTCAGCTATTTGATGCTTTTCCGGGGTTGAGGAAAGAGTAAGAGATTAATGCCAGAGTTAAAAGCTCTTTCTTCCCGTAACGCGAACTTGTAATTATGTTATCATAATATCTTTAGTTTATCAGGTTTCCGTAAGTACGATACTGGGAGAGGCCGGTACTGGCAATATGGCCGGGAATCTTTTTCTTGAGTAAAAGAACTGTCCTTAAGATATTTCGTGAGGAGATATTAAGTTGACTGTTGGTCCTTTTTTTTTTTTTTTTTTTTTTTTTTCATTAAATCTATTAAGTTTTAGTACGTTAGTAAAATTATAAACAAACGTAGTAAAAATAAAATAAAGGAGGGTTGGTTTTATACCTTGAATAATGCCTCATGCGAAATTCATCGGCCACTCTCCTCAGTCAACGTTGCTGGTCTCCTCTGGTGCCGTAGAACTGTTACAAGCTTAAAGTGAAGAATATGTGTAAGGTATAGCGGATAGGCTGTTAAATTATTCTTCTGGGCATAGGAACGAGAGCCTTCCTGCTTGTTCGCCTTTAGGTGAATGCGAGAGAGTGATGAGAGCTTATTGGTTACCTAGGCTTAATCCCTAAAAGTGACATCGGATCCCCGATGAAACGCAGCCGCTGTCAGTGGAGGAAGCGTAAATAAAATCAGACCATGGCCCTAGCATAATTATAAACAAAATAGAATATGAAATATACAATGAATTAAATTTAAATTTACAAGTATGTGAATCCGACACCGGACAACGCGTGATTTGCAAAAGCGTCAGCCAGCTCTGCCAATCTGCCACTAGTTTGATTCAAACTGTTTGTTTATAATATGGCCACTCCCAGGCCAATTTGTCTTCTCAGTAGTATCTTAATATCTCTTCAGGCATATTCCAGGCACGATGCCCAGACCGGTATAAATTAACTTTTTTCTCTTCATTATATATGTTTTTAACAATCATCCTTCCTAAGTGTACTTTTACGTAATTTACTATTGTACTGTAGTAATTTAAATATACTGGATTAAATATCACATTTATTTCTCATTTTCTGCGACCTATGGCATGAGTATGCATAATCTATGTTGTTAATTTTTTCTATTATTATTAATATCCAAATCGTTAACTCAGAATTTTTCTTGCATAAGTAACTTTATAGAAATTTCCGACAAATATTTGGTAAGACTGGACTCAGATTTCAGAGCGATTAGACCCATAATTATGAAGATGTATATATGAGAAGAATCTACCTGTGCTATATTTTTTTATAACTATCCATAAGACTTCGTTGTTTGAAAAAGGAATAACTTTTTCTCATCTCACACACGCCTTGCTTAGTAAAATTTAATTCAACATCTAGTGATGTCATGATAACATCTTGTTTATTTTTCCAACATCGCGTTGCTCCTTGTAAATGGCAAGTTTGAACAGCACTCAACCTTCTTTAGTTGCAACCTATCCTTCAAGTAACAACACACGTGTTTTTGACTACCATTGATAATATTATTGTCAAGTATGGGAAAAATTAAAAAAGAGGCGGAAGATAAATTGCCAGAAGGTATGAAATCGTCAAATGATGTTAAAAACAAATCAGTTAGGAGAAAAAGGATCGTTAAAGAATTGTTAGAAAAGAGAAAGGTAATTGATAAAATTTTACATGATTTTTCATTTTATTAGCATTTCAATTAAAATTTTCTTTTAATAGGCCAAAAGAGAAGCCCGAAAAAAACGAAGGGAAGGAGGTGAAAAACCTGGTGTCCCTCATACAATTGAAAGTTTAAGAGTTAAAGATGAAACTGTATTGGAAGCCACTGAAGCTAATGAAGAGCGTATTGAGGAAATGCATGTTGATATTAAAACAGATGAATTCCAACATTATTTTAATATGGAGTATGAGCCAAAAGTTCTTATCACTTTCAAAGATAATCCATTAAAGGTATTTCTCTTATATTATTAAATCCTAAATATTTGTTTGAATCTGTGTGTTTCACTTGTTTATTTAGCTTTATGACTTAATCGGTTAATTATATGCTCTTTTTATGGCACAACTCCTTGAAACTAGGATATCTGCTTTATTGACAATTTATTGTAGAGAGGATGATATTGTCTATGGAAGAACCTTGGTCTTCCTGCTAGTCTCCTTCCGCCTGGCCTTCCATTCATTATCTTTTTTGGTAGCCTCTCATTCGGCATCCTTTGAAAATTGCCCAGCCATTGCAACCTTCCTTCTTCTAGGCTCACCAAAAAGCTGTTCGAGCTCTCTGTTTTTCTTTATTTTCCAATGGTCATCCTTGTTTACTGGGCCAAATATTTTTGACATTTATTTTATATCACGTAAATATAATGGAGGTTATAAATAAATTATACTGTTGTGGACAAAAAGATAGTAATAGATTTTTATGGTTAATTATTATTTTATGGAAATTTATAAAAAAATTTCATTTCCATATAATAAAAAACATTTACACCTGATTATTATTATTTTTATTTTATTTTTTGTCCATCTTTTTTTTTTGGTGGTTGGAACAAGAACTGACATCATAACATTCGGTAGCCTTCCACTGTTTTCGGCATTTTATGACCACACGTGACTAAAGTGATAGTGAACCACGCTTAAGCCGTACAGAATTTTCGTAAACTAGTAATGATATGCTACAATAAACTCCTAAGTTTGTATTAATTTCCTCATATTATTAGATTAACTTGTTCGAGTAGAAAAAATAATTAAAAGTTGAGCTATAGATGTGTGATGTCAAGTTGACAGATATGCCAAGAACCCTCTGGTTATACTGTTTGCTGAATCAATTTATTCTAAACATTAAAGTTATATAAGAAGAGGAAAATAGAAATACCCGCAACTTTTTGTGTATGACTGACAACAATTACGATTCCTTGTATTTTAACTGTAGCGTCAACTGCAATAACTTCCAAAATGCTGTTATTGTGAAGCTGGAATTAAATTATCCTGTCATTAAATTTAGGAAACAAATAAAAAGTTAAGATAATTCCTATAGACCAATTTAGAAATGCTCCATTTATCAAAATTAAACAACAACAAAAAGCAAAATTGGTAAATTCTTTGTATTTTTATTGACTTGTATGAAGGTACAGAAATTACAAATATGCTTTCCTTTATATGTACTGCTGTAAAGATTTAAAATTATATTTTACTGTTTGACGTTTGGTTGTACCTTGCCACTAAAGATTTATAACAGATGATAAACATAAAACAGTGAAATTTAAAATTATGTTCTCTAAAAATATTACAAAAATTATGGAACAGTGTAACACTATTAATGTAATTTATAAACAAATTAAAGTCAAGTTGGAATTTACTGAAAAATATAGTGAGCATAATAGAATATGATGTTAACTACTTTGTCACATTAACAAATTAAGTTCAACAGAAGTTCTAAAGCCATACTCAGTACATATTTATCTCCATTTTTTTTTCTACTGTTCATTATCTTTTCCTGTTTATTTAATTTCTACCCATTTAAAATGTACTAGACCTTATAATTTATCTTAAGTTCAGTAATTTGCACTGTTTCTCTTGATGATATACATTTTTTTATTTTTAGCGTTCTAGAATCCTTGGTGTAGAATTAAGCAGAGTTATACCTAACTCAATGTTCAGGTACAGAGGTCGATCCAGCACAAAGAAAATAGTAAAAAGAGCTATCGAAAGAAACTTCTCTGATGTTGTTCTTATTAATGAAGACATGAAAGAACCAAGTATCCTTTTATTAAAATAGAATTTCCTTTATATTTGTAAAATTCATGTTAAATATTTGTTTTATAACTTTAAACCCTTGAATTTAAAATTTGTGGCATTTATTAAGTTAATTTTGGTATTGATCACTAGTTTTACTCCAAGACAATGGTAGCTGGGTCAAAATCAGATATAGTAGATGCTATTTTGATATAGGCGGATTGTAAACTGAAGTAGATAGAGACGATCAATGCCGATGGTAATTAGGCCCGATTTCTGCTGTAAAAGAACTATTTTTAAATCTCTTTTGAACTGGCTGAAATTGGAAGCTGTCATATAATAAAAGTGAGGCTATGTCTGTGAATATGATTGTCTATACTCGGAAATTTTCAGAATTTCATATACAGTGTGAGCAATGTGATCTTTGCCCATCCGTCATCATGGAGTGGCACTTATGAATTTTTATCTTGATTTTCTATGACCTTTTATTGACTCCTGAATTCACTTAGCACCAAGATCTCTGCCTATAAATTTGATATCCTGTCTTTTCTTAGTATTTTCAGGTTCCTTTTTCTCCAGTAATAATACTCTGGATTCTTTTTTAATTACATTTAACCATAGTTAACCATTGCAGCCGAGGTTTCCATTACTTGTCCCACTTCTTGGGGCAGGTTTGTTGAGGTCTCCTTGGTAGTTTCTGTCTTATCTTATCCTTTCAACTTTGTTTTTTATTGAGTGTTAATTTCAAGCATTATTTATGTTCAAAATCAAGGCTCAATAATTGTTTTTGATGAAGAATTAAGAAAGATATGGTGTACTGACAAAAAAATACCTTTGAAAAATAATATATAAAGATTATTTTTCTGTTTATACATAAATATTTTGCACTGTTTTTCTTTAATGCTATTTTAGATGGTTTATTGTTAATCCATTTACCATCAGGACCAACAGCTTATTTTAGGATGAGCAATATGAAACTTACTACTGATTTAAAAGTAAAGTATCATTTTTGATCAATTATTATGTTCTATGTATCTGTATTGAATTTCAGTAATTAAAAAAAAAAGAATTATTAGTTGTAGTTATTTAATGATATTATTTTTGTATTATGAACCATACATACACAGGTCTCTTAGCAACTAGTTTTTCTTCTGAATTTTGGAATGATTTTTTTCTTTTTTTGTGGTTAGGTTGGGAATGAGTTCTCATTAGCCTCATTTTTATAACTGAGTAGCTACTAAAATAAATAAATTAATGTTTCAAAACATCAATAAAAAATTCAAGGTGACATGCGACTGTGTATGTTTGACAATCATATAGGCTCTCCACACTGTCATACCATCTATTATTTGTCTAAAATTCATGGAATTTTATATAATTTAGTTCTGTTTTGTTTTTGTAGCTTAGCCACAAAGATATTAATTTTCATCGTCCTGAAATAATTTTAAACAACTTTACAACAAGACTAGGTACATCAATTTCCAGAATGTTGGCAAGTTTGTTTCATTATGATCCCGAATTTAGAGGCAGGCGAGTGGTCACATTTCACAATCAAAGAGACTATATCTTCTTTAGGCATCATATGTAAGTAATTCTTGCTTTATGTAATATGACCTTCGTATGGTTGGGAAATAAACGTTTTAGTGCGAATACTAACCACATATCCTCTTTATGTATCTATTGGCCGAAAATTGGTAGATCTGTATTAAGCACTGAACTCTTCAAAGGCATTAGTAGTGCAACTTGTTTAGATATTTATTTTTTAACGGATGCTTTAATTTTAATGTGGAAACTATATTCTTTATTTCAAAATTTAGAGAAAAAAAATAGTTTTTATTTTTAAAAAGTTTCGGAATGACTAGAACTTTTATTGTTGATAGTTTTTTTATTTCTTTTGGAACTAGAACTTTTTTCCTTGTAACTTTTCCAGTAAAGATTTTACAGAACTTTTCTTTTTTAAAAACTTTTATTTAAAAGTTGTCAATTTTACTAAAAAGTCAATCTTATAAATGAGTTCTATTTCCAGCTACTCAAACAAACGACACATTAGAATCATCTGCAGTTAATTTAAGACATATTATAACTATAATCTAAGCCCAATTACTGTTTGTTTCTCATCTAACGGAACTTTTTTTAAGAACTTAAATAAATAAAAGTTTAACTTTTACCATAAATCTAGAAATTTAATGAAAAAAAAGTTTCTTGGAACTTTATTTTAAAAACTTTTTTCATAAACAGTTTCACAGGAATTGTTAAATTAGAACTTCATAAAAAAGGTTCCATAAAAGTTTCAACCTCTGGTTTAAACTTATATAATGGCTTTTATTTGGGCCTTAAAAATGCATCAATTATTATTAATTCATTCACAACATTGAGGGAACGAGGGAGCTCAGTGGTAGGGCACTAAGCTTCCAATGCTCGAGGTCCCTGGTTCGAATCCCGGCTCGTGGTAGAAAAATTATTTATTATGATTCATTGGCCGTGAGGAGACCCTCCTAGGGCACACCCAGCCTCTACAAAGTGGGTACCCTTAATTAAATAATTGATTAAGAAAAACCCTGGTGGTTGAGCGTGATGCTGGCCCGATCCTCCCCCTACGCAACCCTTGGCCTTGAAACGGTACTTTCCCTAAATAGTACTGAACTCAAGATGGGTTATAGTGGTACAGGTTTTTTTTTTATTATTATTATTTTTATGCACAACTTTTATATTTTAATCTTTAATTGAAAACATTTTTTTTTAATATATAATTACATTTTTTATGTAATGTCATATTTCCATGATAATATGTAATGTAATATCATACTTCGATGCCAAGGATATGGAAATACTAGGGCCACATGCGAGGCTAATGGTATCATTTGCAAGTGGTGGTCTGCATCTGATCACATAGGATTGTCCTGAAAAAAGAAATAAAGAAGACCCAATCTGCCTGAGGGAAGCTATCCTCAGTAACTATGCTAAGCATTAGGCAGGAAATCGGGACTGCCCGGTGCATATAAAGAAATCTCAAGAGGTAGTGAGAAAAACGTCTTATGACTAAAATCACTATCCTCCAGCTATACATGGGCCGCCGGCATGTTGTGGCTGATAAGCTTTGGGCTCTTTTTAAACGCTATGACATAATGGTGATCCAGGAACAGATCTGCCATGAGAACAACGTCATAGGGTTCGGCCTCATGTCGAAGGTTATAGCCCTGAGCAGTGGAGATAGGAAGGCCTAGGGCTGCAATAGTAATCAATAATCCTAACTTTGACGTGATGGATCTGAGACAGCACACCATGGCGAGTTAATGCATCATGCTATGTTATATAGGTAAGATTACCTACACGCTTGTTTCGGCATACCTGCCTTTCAGTGATGATATTGATGAAAGCATATCCGATATGGAAGAATTCATTAGAGAAATGAGGAATGTGATCGTTTGCTCAGATTTCAACTTCTGGAACACGGTCTGGAGGTACAATATCACTGATAGGCAAGGCGCAAAAAAGGGAGATTTCATAGCCAGAAATTACCTTGTCGTGATGAATGAACCCTCTGCCACCCCTACCTTTTCTGGAGTCATGGGCTATAGTTGGATTGATGTCACGATGGGCACACCACGCCTGTGCTTACAAGGTACATCACAGATTGGACTCTCAGGTCTGAAACGAGTTCCAACCACATTGTGATAGCAATCGACCTGGTAGATAAGCCTGTATGTTCCCATGGTATTGATGAAGATTTTGTTACGAAAGTAAGAGACTGGAATGTCTTCATCTGCTATCTGAAAGGACTGATATCTATGATCACCAATATTATTTGAGATGCTGCCTAAAACTCCCTGAAACATCGGAAAGCGAGAGCTCGACTGGTCCCAGGGTGGACGTCAGCCTTAACTGTTCTAATTAGAGACCTATACAAGGACATACCAGAGGTGTAGATGTGACGAGAGGTACATTGCACTTCAGAATGAGTTTAAATCTAAATCTAGGATATACCGAAACGAGGTTCACTCACAAAAACGGAAGTCCTGTGACAATTTTATCCTCAAAGAATCCCTGGGATATTCCCTACAGGATAGCATTGGGTAAGCTGACCCCGCTGCAGACAATTTTGCAGCTTTGAAATATCAAGATACTTAGGCAACCACTCTGGAAGAGACTGCCAGTATTTACATTGAAGCAATATACCCCAGGGATGATCTCTGACGGAAAGAATATGAGAATGGCTGCTGCCAAGAATCAAGTCATTCTCCTCAAGGCCAAGACTGACAGAGCATACCCTATAACAATGAACATGGAAGTCCAGAGGATATGCCCAAGTGAGGTGGTATCCTACGTAGTAGTTAGGTTAGGTTTTGGCCTAAATGTGACAACTCACTTGGAATATCTGGCAGTTAGGGTGGCCCTAGCAATGAACAGTCTAACTCGTGTGGGGGCACATTCTGGGGCCTTAGGTATTCAGCCACAATCACAATTTATAAAGGTGTTGTGTTGGATATCCTGAGGTATGCTTCTCCCTTCTGGTTCCAGAACCTCATAATACAACAAAATATAAGACTAGTGTCGATTCGGAGGAAAGCTCTGATTCGGGTCATCTAAGCATATAGGACAACTTCCCATGAAACAGTGCAGGTCCTAGCAGGGATGGGATGGTGCCTCTCGATATCCTTCTGCTATAAGAAGTGACGAAATATTTTTATAAGAGGGAAGGCTCTACAGTACTTTCGGACAATCTGCAGGTGAGGATTATGGATATGCCTAATAGATGAAAGAACATCGTCTGGGAGGACACGATTGAAGCATGAAACCGGCGGTGGGTAGCTACCCCTAAAGGAAGTACTTTCTCAGGGTACAGTCGAGACTTTGAGCAAAGTGGGTCCTCCTAGACTACTGCATTTCTCAAGTTTCTCACTGGGCATGGAGGATTTTGAGCTAAACTTCACAGTCTGGACATAGATTAGATCCTCTATGCTCAACCTGTAGTGTTCCAGAAACGTTAAGAGTGACTATGACAAGAGCTGCGGAAATCTATGTCCTCACTAAAGATGAGTTTCCTCAGTTAGTCAGTGAGCAAAATTTCCTGCCGTTTAAGGATTTAAGGACCAGCTCACTTCAGTATTGGTGTCCACAAAAGAAGAGCGCCAGGAAGACCTCCAGATTCTGGAAGCTAGGCCGAAACTGATAAATAAGAAGGAAGAAGATAAAACAGAAAAACTGCTAGCTGTGTGTACATTCTTCCTCAGTTAACTAGTAATAATGTGTTATTAAACATTCATGCCTAATAACGCACTATTGCCACAGCAGCATGGGATGGTGGAATATATAAATAAATAAATGTTGTAACTGAAGATTCTAGAAATATTCTCAGAATAATGAACTGAATGAGATCTGCACAGGATAGGGACAAATGGTGAAATAACTCGAGACCAGGTCGTAGAGCCATGATGATGATTTTTCCATTTTCAAAACCAAATTACATAGTGTATCTATTGGGTTGGCAAATAAGTCCTTTCAGTTTTTTCTGATAATTTTTATGTCACTATGATACACTTCTTATCTGATGAATTAATCTCTAAGGTGGATTGTTTATCCTGTTTGTAATATGTCAACTACTATATCTGTTAACTCTTATTGACACTAACTTAGTTATTGTTTGCTATTGCACTGTGAATGTGGAAGAATATATCATTCATTATCGGCATATTTTGTTGTATTATTTTTAAAAAGGTAAGCATAGAAAAATTTGCAGTGTTTATGGAGATGATGCCTTAACCGAATGAACCTGTCAAAATTGGATTGCCAAATTTCTAGAAATTTTGTCATCAATGATGCTCAATGGTCTGGTCAACCACATGAAATTGAAACGAGCAATGTTAAGGCCATTGTTGATCAAAATCCCACCCAATCAGTGCGAGAGATTGCTATGGCCCTAAATGTGTCGCACACAAGCGTAGAAAACCATTTGCACAAGGTCGGCTATGTTTCCAGGCTTAATGTTTGGGTCCCTTACATGATTTTTTTTTAAATTACAAAAAATGTTAAACTTCAATGCGACTTTAGCTATCTACAAGGAATTTAGGGCCACATAAACTACACAAAATGACATCAACAGGACCTTCGTAAACAAAATACAAATGGAGATAAAAAAAATAAAAACCTATAAGGGAGTTTTTGTTTATTTATTCCTTATGTAGGCATTAAATAAAAAAACCATTCATACGGCTTTGAAGAGCAATAATTCAGCTTTTCAACAGATATAGTAACATCGAATTTGGAGAGTTATGAATAATAAGAAGGGTGTTGTGTTCCGCCAAGACAATGGTAGGCCCCACACCTCATTGGTCACTCGCATTAAGTTATTGAGCCTTCGATGGGATCTTTTGCCCCACCCGCCCTATTCACTAGACTTAGCTCCAAGTGACTATAACTTATTTCGGTCTCTGCAGAACTCCATGAATGGAAAAAAATTCCAAAATGAAGAGGACATCAAAAACCACTTTTTTAACAGTGAATTACAGACATTCTATGAACATGGCATTATGCAGTTGGTGTAAAGATAAGAAAAAGTCATATTAAATAATAGTCAATATATTATAAATTTTATCTATAATACATTGAGTTTTATTTCACCCTGAAAAAACGAAAGGACTTATTTGCAAACCCAATATTTCCTTTTATTTGGCTAGTTATATAAATGAAATAATAATTTATTAGTCCTTATAAAATTCTCGAATATCAAAGGGAAAAGATTAAGGGTTGAAAAACAAACTATAGCTCATAATGATTCTTTAGGTTACTGTTAGTGGAGGAAGGAGACTGAGAAATTGGACCATTCATGAATAATTGGCATAAAATTTTTAATTTTCACGCAAATGTTTTTTGTACATGTTTAGGTATGAATTTAGGAAAAAAGACGCACATCCTAAATTGAAAGAATTGGGACCTAGGTTCACTTTGAGATTAGAATGGCTTCAGCAAGGAACATTTGACACAAAACTTGGTGAATATGAATGGATCAAAAGAGATCGTAGGCATGATCTGGAATCTAATAGGCGGAAATTTCATTTATGATTATTGTATAATGTTCTTGTATTTTAATTTTGTTTGTAATATAAATTATTTTTATATTTATTATGGCTATTATATAATTATTTTTTCCTTGAATTAAATAATATAATTTGGACTGGAGTTAGCAATTTGGTGTGGGCTTACTAAATAATTTATCTCATATTACTAATAAACTTCAAGATAAAATACTGAAGTTAAAAAGAAAACAATGCTTATTGTAGGTACTCTACAATCAGACAAAAAATTAATAAAAATAATCTATTTTCATTAATAATGTCACATGGTGGATCATGTTTATTGACACCAAGATTATGTTCATTGGCTAAATTCAGCTATAACATTGACACTGGTAGAGGTGCCTAGTTCTTTTCAGTTCAGCATGAGAAGGAAGTTAATATTTTACTTACCTGGAAACATTTCTTCCTGTTTTTCTTTTTATTACATTTCAATATTATAACTTTTAAAAAAATATTGTGTAAATTATACATTAGTTTAAAAGTGTTCCAGCATTGTTTATTGTAAATTACTCCATTTTCATATCGTGCCATGGTCAATTAGATTCTTACTGAAACATAAATTACTTAGATAAACGGTGAGTAATAAAAATTTTCTACTATTATTACTTGCATCATTTTACATCTTTTCTATAAACAATTCAAGAAGTTTTCTGTCTTTGCTAGAACAACTAAAACCACATAGCACTTAGGGTAATAAATAAATAAACATAATCTTTAATTTGTTTTTCTATAAAAAATAATTATGATTATTTGTTTCTATTTAGCTAATTACACAATAATAATACTGAATGATCAAATATACTAAATCTAGAAACAACTATTGACTTTTCGTTGAGCAGTCACTATTTTATTTCTACACATTCTTTAAATAACAATGAGAGGCAAATCATTATCGTTAAGTAAATATTTCTGGTAAAAGAATTAAAGATCAAAAAAATCCAATGAGCAATGAATTACATGAAAATATATCATCATGTCAACTGTAATGTATTGATGTATTGAATATGAAGAAACACATTACAGTTATAGAGAGATATTATGCATGATTGTTTCAATTCATCAGGAATACTTTTGATACTTAACAATATACATAATGACATAGGCATAGCTTTTTAGCATCTAAAGAAGTTATTACTATTTAAATAATAATTGTGACATAAATGACATGTTAAATATTACATAAATAAAAATTACGAGTTATAAATCACCATGAACTTAACAACAGTAACAATTTGTTATTAGTCTCTATAAATAAAGACATATTTTAAAAACTAATTTGTACATACATCCCAAAATTTCTTCCATTGGGACAAATTACTAAATTATAACATGGTTTGGAAGTACACTGAAATTCATAATATTTCATCATAATTATCAACACCAAGTCTTAAAATACAAGTAGAACCAACAATAGAAGAATCCAAATCAGATACTGAAAGGTTCTCAGAAAGTAACATAGTTACAATTGATTACAAATAAATTATTAATTAAGGAATATTTCACTTTTAAAAACAATAAATCTGTTAGATGTTTGGCTTATTTTATATTAGAGAGTGTCATAAAATTGATACAAGACAAAAAATATATAGAATCACCCATCAAAAATGGAACTCTACTTCCTGTTAGCTTTTATAATTACTTGCTTTGTAACAATTGGCTGTAGATTTATTCAAAGGCTATTTATACTCCAAATTTCTAACCAGTTGAATATACAAGAGGTAACAATGCACCATGTTCTTTGAAATTTGGGTTTTGCATTGAATTGGGGTTTGCAAGTCCAAGAAAAAATTGGTGACTGATGAATAGAAAAAGATGAATAATAAAAACAGTAAAATCTGTATCTAGTCATAAGCATAATGAAATCAGGTTGGTATTTTAAAAAATCTTAATTCATTCACTCCTTACAAAACAGAAATGAAAAGAAACTATACTAAATATAACAAGATCAAACTATTGCTGTCATTCTTTTTTCCTGTTTGCCACATATTCTACAACAAATCCTAGCCAGAGTGTGAAGATAGAGATATCTGTTGAGTCCACCACAAAATATAACTCAACCTTATCAAGCGGAATTAGAACTGAAGCCAATTCCGATTGTTCAGGTGATGCTCTAATCGCACAGCCTCTATCACACCATTTCAAATATCTACACTTAACCTATTTATGAAATGAAATGAACAATATTAAATTTGATAAAAAACGATAAATGGTTAATATGTCACTGAAAGACAATTAGAAATCCTGTAAATTAATGTACTTGAAATTTAGACAAAATAACATTAGCAATACACAAAATATTTAACATATAACAAATTGTAAATATTCCTAACATTTTAAGGAAAAATTTCCAATTTCAAAGGGATACAGATAGAAAGCTATAGATAAATGAATATTAAAAAAAATGTCTTGAGCCCATCATACCATACTACAAATGAAGACTAACCATACTTTTTTTGAGAAATTGTTGTTTTTTTCCTTTATTTTAAAACTTGCTTGATATAAAATTACTTCATTTTGCATTGGTTATCAGACCTCTTAAAAGCATATTCACTAGTTTAAAACATAAAATATTCTGATAACATAAAAAGATATTAAACTTTTTTTCAAGAAGTGTTAAACTAACTTATTGGTAATTACAATATTTTATTGTTTCGTCATTTCAGTAGAGAATGAATTATCTAATGGAACTGATAGGTTATGTAAATATTTGATACCAGCCTACTCAAAATATTGCAACTTTTAATAATTAAATTTTAAATCAGTTTATAAGAAATACCTAAAAGATGCAATGGTCTAGGCACCTGTTTAGGTAAATACATTTCAATCGTAACATTTTTTAAACTAAATTTCTTATTACAATGGAATGGCATTGTATTCATTAGGCACTTAGCTTTAATGTAAGTAAAGATAATTAACAACATTTTAAAAATTTGAACTTAATAGATTAAAATTTAACACAAGGGAAGACTATTGCACTATAAATTAATGCTAATATAAAATTGGACATCAGCTAAAGTTAGTAAATAAAAATATTTAAAACTTTAAATATCCTACTTGCTCAGTAAATCATAAAACTCATAGAATAACTCTAGATGTAATTAATATAAAATTGCACAATGTAATACAAAATACAACTTTTAATTTATACAGTAGAATCAAACTCCGTATTATGAAAAATCATGAATCCCACTCACTACCCAGAATTAGGAAAGAGCTGATGAATTTATTAATGAAATGGTTCTATAAAGTTGTTTATTCAAATAAATATAACAGAAAAGGCAGCGTTCATGGCATATCTTTAGGTAATTACAAAAATATATCACTATAAAAAATCTGGAAAATTTTGTTAGGATTTAACAGAATAATACTTTTAAACCCAAACTCTTATTGCTGAGTTTAAAATCTTATTAATTTACATTTATTCTTCATTCTAGAAATGCAAATTATTGAGATTCTACTGTATAATAAATAAGTTGGATAAGAAAATAAGTTATTTAAGTATGAATAGCAGTTTAGCCAAGTAATGAGAAATGGCCTGGTAGACAAAAAATAATGAAACTGTTATACTAACAAACATTCCGCATCTTAATAATTAATAAAAAAATAAATAAAAATACTAAGCACTTTAAAAACATATGTAGAACCTATTTCAAACAGCAATCACTTCGTCCTCAGGCCTAATTACATAAAAAAAGTAAAATAAATTTAATATATTTAAAGGAAGGAGATGGTCCGGGGTTGCGGTCATAAATAGACTAAAATAGTGGGAAAAAACTTCAGTTTTAACTAAAACTCCTTGCTGAACACACCTCCCTGAAGAAGACCTGCAAAGTCGGGCTGAAACATTGGCTTGAAATAAAATATTTTTTCCACAATTTTAGTCTATTTATGACCGCCCCCCAGACCATCTCCTTCCTCTATATAATAATTATGTTTACAGCCCACAAATAAATGGATGGATAACAAGGGTGCACAAATAACAAAATAAAGCATATCACAACTTAACACCTAAAACTACATCACATTAAATTTTGAATTAATTACAAATAATTTAAGATGTAATAATTAAGAAACTAAATGGTCACATATTTTTAAATTTAAGAAAACAATTTATAAAAAAGAGATGCAGGCTTATACTAATTCCTCTAAACATGGACAAGTACACCTATGGAAATAACTAATGTTCTTAGAAATCAAATTTTTTTTTTTTTTTTTGGACAGTCAATTTATCTTTATAAGCAAAAGAAAGAGAAAAATTGCTAAATCATCAGATTCTAATAATTTAATCATATTCTGAACAAAATTTTGATAATTTGTATCAGTAAAAATTTGGAACCAATCTAGAAGAAGGGATTAGCAAGCCCTTAACTGCTTCTATGACCTTTCATCTCAATTTTGGTTAATATTTGTATTAACTCCAGACAAGACGACATTATTTACGTCGGCATTATCAATCGAATTGAGAATGTTTTTCCTAATAATATGAATTATGACTTATGAGTTTATCTGCAATTATTTGTAAATGATGCAGTCATTCACTATCAATTTTATGATTTTTCCTGCCTTGTTGCTTGAACAATGAAAAAATTAAATGAGATTTAAATATTCTTATCATCTTATTTTTAATCAGTTAATACATTCTTGCAATCTGTTCCAGCATAATATTCAAGGATATATGTAAATTTAATAAAGGATCTAAATCTTTCTCATTGTATGCGCTTGTCAATTCTTGAACGAGAATAAATATGAACTGTTAATAATTTTATTTTTTTGGTTTTATAAATTTAAATATATAACTATTTAAGAATAAATTAGGCTTTAATAGTGAAAGAAGTTATTTCAAACTAATATAATTAAAAAATGATATGACTAAAATATCCTATTTTTTTGTTTACAATTATAATAATATCTGTACAACAATTTATGTACAGGTTACCAGGAAGGAATGTATCAAAAAAAGGGAAATAATTAGAATAAATAAATGTACAATTTTTAAAATTATTATTTAAAAGACCATTAAACAAAAATATAATATAATTAAAATAGTATACCTACATGAGAGATGGGTAATCTCAAGACCTGAGGGAAAAATAGCAATGCTATTTATTAAAAGGTAGAAAATGAAGACAATAACCATTTAAACTAATCTGTTAATGATACTATTCTAATCCATAATACAAAAATATTAATTCAAAAGAATTTTCTGAAATTGTAAGAGGCAAAAAATAAAATAAATACTTTCTAGGAGTATTTAGATAATATTTATGGATAGTTTAAAAAAATGAATAATTTGGCAACAATAGCAATAGTTATGACAGTAGATTTTGATAGAAAATATTTAAAGGCAAACAGATCCGTTAAAACATAATTATTGTCTATAAGTTTGTAAAGTAGAAGAAAAAGCTCCACACAAACAAGACTATTCACTTTTCAGCCATACAAATGATAATAGAGTCTAGCATGCAAACAAATCACTGGAACTAAAATGAAGTACATCTAGAGAAAAACTTTTGAGTCCATGAACAATAATAAAAGAACTTGGAGAAACTCCACTTTAGATGATTTGGTCACATTTGTCAATTAAATTTAAATTAAAAAATTAAAGGAATGAGAAGAAAACACTCTAACAAATAAGGAAGCTAACTGAGTCCTACGAGAATACAGCACTGACTCGAGCCTCTCCACACTATATAAGTAAAACAACGGAGGGATAAAAAGGAAAAGAGAAATCATTTAATTTAATTTTCATTAACAAATTTAAAACAAGAATAAATGTGACATTATTCGTAGGCTATGAAATCCGGTTTTAAAAAAAATTTCAATAAATGACTAATTTTCCTTGTTCAAATTTCTTTTTTAATTATAAATAATTGAGAAAATAAGAACAAAAACATTTCTTATATTTTATGTAATTTTTAACAACTATATAATACCAAAGGATATGAAAGAGGCATTTCATAATTTAAACATGACTATTTTTTTTTACAATTATAATAATATCTGCACAACAATTTCTGTAAAGGTTACCACGAAGGAATGCATCAAAAAAAGACAAATAATTAGAATAAATAAATGTACAATTTTTTTAAATTATTATTTAAAAGACCATTAAAAAAAAAGAAAATGCAAATAGATTTGTACTACAAGATCCTTAAATTAATGGCTAATTTTTACAGATAAACTATACAAGTAAAGAAGGAAAATTTAAGTATAATAGGATGTCAATTATACGAACAACAGTTATAAGAATTGTTAATTTAATGAAACCAATAGACCAATGTTAGTTCCAGGTACAGTTATAACAAGTAAAGTATGAAATATAGGGAAAACTGTTGTACATGGTTTTACCCAAAGAATCATACATTCACCAATAAATGATTCATTGGTGCAGAAACAAAGTTAAGCAATCCAACACATTATTAGGAATTTGTTAATTTTTAGACAGTACAAATGAACCAAACCAAAATGTATTAAACTATAATACTTCAACTTTCAACATGAAATTAAAGTTAGCTGTAATGTGCCCCAAGAAGATGCGTTCCTAAACAATTTAATAAAAATATTGAAAGACAAAGGTGATGACCATCAATGCACATTCAGCCCATAAACAAAATTAAGTTATTTTGGAAATCTCTTCTTTAAAAAATTACATTCAATCAAATTAGTTAGCAAGAGCTACAATTCAATAAATGATTTGTTTTTCAATTCAGTTTTTCTGATTTTATTTCAAAGTAATTTTAATCATGCGAAATAGCTTTTGTTTGTATAGTTGACATTCTATTGCAGCTACTTCATAAAAAGTATTAATTCAACATATTTACATATTTTAGTGACAATAAGTTTTATACACAATTTAACAAACAATAATTACACAATGGCGAGTAATCTTCATGGTAAGTAAACTTTGAACTAATAATTATTTGGACATGATTTAATGGTTATTTTACGAATATTATTATGTTTAAAAGCATAAGGTAGTTGAACATAGTCAATATATTGTATGTACATAAGCTGGGCATGAAACAAATAAAGAAATTGAAGCTACCTGTAATCCCTCTCAATCCCTTTGAGAATAGCAATAATGTTATCCAAACCAAAGAGGAATCCTTCATCAGGGCCATTATACACTCCACACTCTGCCATACTGGAATGTGAAGAATGAGCGAAATCTATCACTCTCACATCTGTGAAAGGCTCTTCTTCTGCCTGGTCTGAGAGGCCCATATCAGAAGATGATCTGTTATAATCCCAAACATACAAGATATTAAGATATTGGTTGTTATTAGGTACACTAAGAACTTGTAAGAATTAAAAACAGGATACAATTCTTACTTCATGTCATCCCACCCTAATTTTGTACTAATAATTTATTAATTGATATTAAAATATATAATCGAAGATTGTTCTAAGCAGAAATATATAAAAATTATCCTACTTTTTCTCTCTATAAACCAAAACAAATAATTTACATTTTTACTTTAGGAGAAAAATGACATGAAGAGAAAAAAAAAAACTGCTTTAAAAAATAATATTATTAAGATTAAAAACTTTTATGATTGGAACTGCCATAATAAAACAAAAAATATTTTTATATTTCTTTTTGTTTTATATAGTTAGATTTTTTTAAGGAAATTAATCGACTGTTCTACATATCATGGATGATAAATATTCAGGACGCAGTCATTATAAGGTTTTTTGCCGACGTTAGTTTTTTTTTATTTTGAATATGATAAACAAACAATAATTCTTTACAAATAATAGATGCTTCAGTTAGTAAGAGTATTGAATTCTACTCAAATTGGAAAAAGAAAACAAATGTTTACAGAAAATGTACTATATCTTTGTCAATAATTTATAAAATCCATTGATTATATCATAATTTTAAAGATTATTATCTTCTTCAGAGCCAAAAAATTAACAAACCCCAAGAAAAATAAGGAAAAAAGTTATGAAGAGAAGAATACTTTATTTGGCACGTGACTAAAAAATTATCTAATTTATGATTGAAGAGAAGGATGGTTGGGATGATCAGTCAAATGGGGGTGACATGGTAAAAAATAAATAATAATTTTATTTATTTATATTATTTATTATTTATATTATATATTTTTTACCATTTCAATTTGACTGATCATCCCAGCCATTCTTCTTTTCAATTATTCACTACAACCAACCATAAATCCACAATTATGTAATTTATGATTGGTTATAAACATGATAATCTGAAATGTTTCTAAATTCATTACAAAATAAAACAATTCCTCTCTCCTTCCGAATCACATTTACTTATTTCCATATAACATTACCCTTTGTTTACTGACCGATATACTATGCAAATTATTTGCAAACTAATAAATGTGTAAGCAAACAATTTTACCTGGGTTGGCCTGCGCAACTGCTGCTCCTCCTCCTACCATGATAGCGGGTAGCTCTAACTTCTGTCACTCCTTCAAGAAGGGATGTTATACTCTCGGCTGAAGTGCTTCTTGTAATATATTCATAGTCCATGTCAATTAATTCTTCATCTAATGACACTCCACGACTTCTAATAACGCTGTCCCTTTTTTCTTTCAGCCTTATAAAATAAAACAAAGTTTGATCTAGTGTAAATAGAATAATAAATGATAATTGGTTTACAGAATCATAAATAAATTCTAAAAAATTTCTCATAAAATCCTACATATGATCTGTACATGACCAAGTACATCTCGTTAACAAAAAGTTTCTTGTCTTGATCCTAACCAATTTTTTTTGCAAAGCCAAGAGTATAACCCGGTAAGAACGAAAAAGGTCCTCTCTCCTTTAATAATATATTTTTAACAAAAAAGTACAGCTGAATATGGTGCAATGCACCGAAAGCTCCGAGTAATGACAAAATTAACTGAGACTGAATTAAAAGGATATTTTTCTATATTTCAAGAATATATATATATGTGTATATATATATATATATATATATATATATATATATATATATATATATATGTGTATATATATATATATATATATATATATATATATATATATATATATATACACACATATATATATTCTTGAATATATATATATATATATATATATATATACGTATATGAACTCAGAAAGTGCAAGGGGAGAATGAGTGTCAATATTTATCTTTGTATGAATATTTGCGAATCAGTCCATTTTGCTTCATAATCACTCATGATCAATGAGAAATATCCAGTAGAATGAAATGGTATCTGAATTTTAGTATTGAGTAATTTTATTAACTAATGGTATGAAACTGATTTTTTTTATTATTTATATACTATTTGTTTATAATGCAAGAAGATTTAATGTTATTATTTGTGGGTTAATAGATCATAAGCTGGAATGGTTATATAGACACCTCATTACACAACTTACTTATCAATTTATAATTTTTGATTTAACATAGTTTTTTTTTTTTTGTTTTTTCACTTGACTGGTAAAAAGCATGCTCATACAAATGGATACTGATATCATTTCATTGGATATGGATGACAATAAAAGTATTCAGCAGCGAGCATAGATTATTTCTCGATGATTTGATAAGAAATCCCATAAAACCTATTGACAGTGTCATACTAACCAAAACAAAAAAAAGTAATATTGTTATCCATCCATCATGCAATATGCCAAGAAGTTTCCTCTAATTCAATTATGTAATTCTTTTATTTGTCTAAATTTTGCCTCTTTTTCTTTGTCTTTTTTAGCTTATTTTATTTGTTCCTAAGGAAGTTTTTCCATGGATTTAATTTTATGAAACTTGTTTGGTTCTTTTCTAGGCATTTAGGTATTTTCTATGCAAGTTAAATTTTAATATTTTTCACTTTCACTTACCTATATATATTTTTTTTTTTTTGGGTCCCACCTTCCTCGCCTTTAAGGCTATACGGGGTTTTCCCGGGCCAGGGAGTGTGGGCAGATTTAATTCCTATAATTTTTATTTTGCGGTATTACCTTGCTTATTCATAATTAAATACATGTACTTTCAAATCTCTCTTTGTCTATAGAGCTCAGAGACTGGAGTTATGTGATTCAAATAGACTGATGCACTTAGAAGGTTTTTATTGCCTACAATGGATATAATAAATAGGGTTTATGTTATTTTGATGGTCTTAATGAGTTTTTGTATTGATGAATATTCAAAAATATATTGTTCAAGGTTTAGCTTCATTAAAAATGTGCTTCAAAAACTTCTGGTAATAGCCCAATTTTGCCAGACAAGAATTTCTTTTTGAGCAGTAAGTGAAAGTTGTGTGTTATGCGCACCAGATTTTTTGTATTGTTTTGTATTTCAACTAATTTTCCCTCAATATATCATTGTTCATGTGCTTTACTAATAACTTGTTTTCTTTCAAATTGATTAAAAACATAAGCTAAAAGATAAATTGTATTCACTCTAACAATATACTTTTTAAAAATATTTTTAATTGTGTATGATATATTTTACGCAGATTTTATTTTCTTCTTCTTAACCCATTTCTTAATATTTTCAACTAATGATTTATCAAATAAAAAAGTAAATTTTTAGTATATTTCATTAAAAATGGCTGATTCAGGAAGAAAATAACAGGAGGATTTAAACTTTAACTTTGTATTTAATTTTTTTTTTTTAATCAAAACATTTAAAATATATAATAAATCTTTAAAAAAAATATGAAAATAACCTATTTCTAGAAAAAATATAACAAATTAACAATGGTTTACTCAAGGAATATACTACAACAGCCAAAAAAGAAAGAAACCGATGAAAACACACCTCTTCTAGTAATGGAAGACATACATCACTGAGATTTAGGAAACATAAATTAAAACAAATCAGAAACAATCCTTAGATTATCTTCATGGTTAATATAAAGATAAAGAAATAAATTATCATAGAAGTTTATTCAAACAATTTACCTATCTTGATTTTGCAAAATTGTTGTGCTATCACCTTCATAGATCAACAGAAGAGATGTTGTAAACAGCCTCAAACTATTTTGTTCACCAAGAATACCAGCAAGCCCTATAATTAGATTAATCATCAGTTATGATTAGTAGCAGATAATAACTATTGATTGGTAAATAATTTCCACAATATTTATAACAAAAATAAATTAAGTCAAAAAATTAAAAGTAGAAATAATTTTGTATAAAAAATTGATAAGAGGCAATATTTATTATAATGTTTTACTATTTAATTAAATAATTTCTAGACATGTAAAATTGTACTACTGCTAGGAGTCTAAGCAGGTTTCAAAGGATTTTTTAATGAAAATTGTAGCTTTATTCTGTAAATTAGGAACAAATTCATTGTTTAGAGTATTTTCCATCCCCAGCCATTAATATTTCCCATATTTTTTGCAACATATAAATTCAGCATTGAAAGAATGACTGATCTTTGGAGGCAATTCAAGAATAAACCATTTTTTGCATCCATCATAACAACTGAAGTGGTGTTCAGACTAATGTTTAAAACAAGTAATAGTGGGAAGGAGTAATGTCTGAAGGTGGTATTGGATACCCCATTTGAGCGTTTTCAAGAAGTTCTTGACAGTTACTGTAACATGTGGCTGATCATTGTCATGCTACAAAAACAATTTTTCATGCTCATATTATGGCCATTCCTCCTTCAATGCTAAGTTCAAATCCATCAATCGTAGTTGGTAACAAAACCATGATGGTTTCATTAAATTTTAACAGCTCATTCATAAATTTAAACACTATACCGAGCTCACTTAAAGCCAGAAACAATCTTTATTCGTCTATATACTGTTCTTATTCTTAAGGTACTTTTTCCTTGAATAAAGTTGTTTTTTATGTTATATTTTTTCCTGCTCTTGTACCATTCTCTGATAAATCTGAAGTCTAATAAAATTTCTTGTAATATTACTCCTAAAAATTCAGCAAGTTCTTGCATTTGATACGAATATTTATAGTACAGTATATTTATGAATAGACATAGTATTTTTGAATAAACAGATGATGCTAATATATCTTTATATTATATAAGGAAATAAATTTTCTTGGATTAAAGGAAAATTATATTTCCTATTTCTAATCAATCTTTTTTGTATACTTCATACTTTGACAAAACAATGTTTCTTCCATCAACAGTAAAACAGAGAAGCAACCATCAGAAACATTTAAAAATATAAATTCAAATACTCTTTTACTTTAAAATAAGGACGTGATGGCTGAGGGTTTTGGGATGTGAGAGTCCCTGAGTCCCCAGTTCGAATGAGCCGTCAAGAGTTGACAAAAAAAGGACCACAAGACCCACTTAACCACTATTAGCCACCAGGGGTGGCTGAGCGGGCTAATGTGTTTGCACAGTACTGCATGTTGCCCAGTAACTTGAAAACCGAAGTTATAGAGAATATAACAATTAAGAGCTTGTCCTGGTGCGAGGGAGATTTTAACTCTAGCATGAAATCCCCTGCCTTCCCCCTCAGGCCTGGTAAAATCCTGTGTAGCCTAAAAGGCGAGGAAGAGAACAAAAAAAAGACCATTAGCCACCACCAGTACATTACCAATACCAGTATCTCTAATTTTTTAATGAAATCAATAATTTAAAAAATATAATAAATAAATAAAAATGCTTACCATAAAACAAATATACACGAAAAAGTGTGTTAGGAGTTAAGTCAAGAAAGAAAACACGCAGTATTAATTTTAATGTAATTTTCTAAGTATGCTAATGCTTTGGCCTAGGTTGTGGATATTCATCAGAACTAAGATAAACATAACAGTCATAAAAGAAATGCAAAATTATGATGGAATATTAAACAACTAAATAGTTTTTGTAGAGATATATGAAAAATAGAAGCTGCATGTGGTATGAAAATTATGTATACCTGTATGAAATAGGAATATGAATAATAAAAGTTTTCTATTTGTAGCTACAATATTTATATACTTTTTCAACTCTCATATATTCCTTTTTATACCTATCTACATTTATTCTTCATTTCCTTCTTGGTTGTGTCTCATTTTGTTTGATGCAGACCTACAGCTTAGATCTGAAAATTTTGACACATATCATGAGCGACATTATAATTACTATCAGTTTTCTTTCTTGACTATTCCCCCAACCAACTTCTCCTTCTTTGTTTCATCCATTACAAAACCATTAAAATTAGATTTCTTGATTTTAAAGAGTAATACTTTTGTATGACTATTGTAGTGCGAGTATAATTATTAATATAAAAAAATTCAACAGTTGGAAAACAAAGTAAATATTCACCAGTAATGGTATATTACTTAAGTATTAAAAAAAAACACTGGATGTTTAAATCAATATGATAAAAAATGTTAAGAAAAACATTAAGTTACAGTACCAATTTGATATCAAACTAAACACTTTCAAGTCTCTAATCCATTTTTTTTTTTGTCATGAATGTGTTTCAGATCTTACCTTCCAACTTTCTTATGAATGGAGAAAGTAATTCTATTCTCAGACGAACGCCATCGTGTAAAAACTGCCTCATTGCAATAGAAAATCCAGCAGGTGTTAGTGCTCTTCCATAAAGTTTATTTCGACATAAAAATCTTCCTGTTGTAACTTGATAAACCTAAAAGAACAAAAAAAAAAAAAAAAAAAAAAAAAAAGAAATTTACTAAAAAATTTGTTTTTAAAACACTAACATAAGTAAAATCTTATAATACCTGCATTCCAGCAACCCGCAATCCTAATTTTCCAGTTGTAGTGTTCACAACTTTAAACATTTTACTTTGTCTTTTGGCAAGGCTATCCCTTTCATCATACTGCCTTGTGCCCATCTTTAGATCAAGGATACATGGAAATCTAAGGGCACAAGTCAGATTTTCAAGAACAAGAAAATCTAAATCAGTTAAGGTCCTATAACTATAAAATACAAGTTTTGAAGTAACTTAAAACATTAATTATTCATTTTTTATTAATATATTTATTGAAATTTACAACGGTATTAGTTAAAAAATTCAAGTAAATTTGAATTGATAATATGACATGTACAACAAGAAAAACTACCCATTGGAAGCACTCCAATTATAATTTTATATTAGACGGTCCTGACGCTGTCTTCTCATATGCCTCAGAGGGTTTATTATTCATTTAATAGTTTTATTTCAAAGATGGAATTCCCAAATTAATTAATATAAGTCCCATAATAAAGTCTCCTTCCATAAATAAAGTTTTAGAAAACACAAATGGCAGAAATACTGTTAATATTGGTAAATAAAATATCTTTTTACACATTAAAAAAAAGGAGTACAACAAACCTAATTTCAGATGGATTAGAAAAAAATAAATGCAAGCTTTTCAGTATCATTCAAAAACTAGATCCTATTTTTTATAACTAGACTAACAATAACTAGATAAGCAGATGAAAAATCGGGTGCGCACAACACAGAACTTTCACTTACCGTTCAATTTTGAATAGAAATTATTTTCTGGTCAGGTTGGGTTATTATAACATTTTTGAATTACATTTTTAATCGAGCAAAACCTAAAAGCTTACAGCTAACAAATCATAAATACCATTAAAAGAATAAAAGTCCTATTTATTATATCACCGGTTGATTATGGGTTGTACGATCCGTTGATTAAGGATAATACGACTATTAGTTATTAAACTGTTATTTTTCTTATTATAAGTTTATTAAAACAGAATTAAGAGATTTGCATTGTCTATCATAGACAGGTCAAAAGTTGTCACACTAATTGTAAGTGGATACTGCTGAAATATCACAAAGGGAAAATACATCAAATTATTCACTAATTTAATTTTCTAAAAGGTTACATGATGATTTTTCGGAATTAACAGACGATAGATACCTAATTATTTAAATATAATATCAGATCTAGAATTATTAAACTATCGTAAATATATTTAAGGTTATAAACATATCCATGAAATATTTTTATATTTCACTTCTTCATTCACACAAATACAATGAAATAGTATCTTAAACAATGGAATCGCCTTGAATCATTGGATTTTAAAAACTAGTTCAACCTAAAAAAAAATGATTAAATTATACACTTAGTAAGAAAATTTCATTTAATTTCCTTGAAAACATGTTATTACATTAAATAATGTTAAGTTTTTAGAAATTATTATTTATATTTTTTTCACTACACTCCGTTACCTTCTACAATTTTATATTAAATATTGTTTTTTTTTTTTTTTAATTCTCGCTTTCCAATGATATATTATACGTATACCTTCCGACTATTATTTCCAGATATTCATTTTCGGCCTGGATAAGTATTTTTCTTTTTTTCTCATGTATTCAATTATCAAATTCTTTCAAAAGTTATATTTAGCATTTTTTTATAACTCCTAACAATAAGAAATAGTTATTATTTATAATAAACCAAATTAAAGGTGCTATTGAGGAAAACATGATAATGTTGGGATTTCACAAAGGGATAATTCATCAAATTATTCACTAGTTCAATTTTCAAAAATGTTACATGACGATTTTTTGGAATAAACGGACGTTGATACCTAATTATTTAAATATAATATCAGACCTAGAATTATTAAACTACAGTAAATGTATTTAAGGTTATAAAGATATCCTTTATACATCCATGAAATGGTTTTATATTTCACTTCTTCTTTCACATAAGTACAATGAATAGTTTTTTAAACAATATCATTGGCTTGATTAGATGGATTTTAAATATATTTTTCAAGCTTAAAAATATTTTAAAAGTTAACATTTAGTTAGTAAATTTCACTTAATTTCCTTAAAACATGTGATTTACATTAAATAATATCATGAGAAGGAGTTGATCGGGGGGTCAAATTAATACTAAATTAAACAATTATTTAATTTTTGCCGATGTTTCGACCCACTTTGCAGGTCTTCATCAGGGCGTAGGATGTAGCACTGCAGGAGGCAGTTGAAACACTGCCTATGCCATGCCATCTCTACATCATTAAATAATATTAGTTTTCAAAAATTATTATGTTTAATTATTTCTCTATTCTCTGTTATCTTCTACAACTTTCTATATTAGATATTGTTTTTTCTAAATTTCTCCGCTTTCCAATGATATATTATACATATACCTTCTAACTAGTATTTCCGGAGATTCATTTTCAACCTGGATAAGCATTTTTATTTTTTTCTTCTTCATTCAATTATCAAATTCTTTCAAAAATTATATTTAGCATTTTTTCTTAACTCTTAATAATGGGAGGAGTAAATATATAATATCAGTTTCTTACAACTTTTTGTTTTTGAGCTAGATTGCTAACACACACACAGACCATTTTGCGGGACTTGTTTTTTTGGACTCCAGGAGATCTCAAAACATGTATTTCTGTTGAAAACTCAGATTCGAAAATTTTCAATACTTACACTTACTATATATTTCATACATAGATAAGTGAAAGTAAAAACAGTAAGTATGGTGGTTTTTTAAGTGAGACATGTGTTTTATTGAATCAAAAGTAATCACTAAAGAAACATTTAATTTAAGTAATTAATAATTGCTTCACTTGTTAAAACTATTTACAGAGGAATTTTGAGCAGCTACACTAAGCTAAGTTCTGTGTTTAGAAAAATTATAAATTATTCGCCATTTTTTTTATCATCATCCAACTATACCTAAGTTTCCACACTTTTACAAAAACTTCTTCATTTAATAAGCTTTAAGTTCATATAAATTAAGTTGAGGTTTATTAGGAAAAAATATGAGAATCAGCTCAGATTTTGTGAGCATTTTTTTTTTTTAAATTATGTTTTTTATCCTGTCAAGTAAAAGTAATATTGTTTTCAGCAAAAATGATTGTAATTAATTGTTGCAAAGATTTTATTTCTTGTTTTCCCATGATCTGTCATGATATTTATTAAACCCAATTGCCTAAACACACTTTATATTTATAGAAGTTGATCTGTATTGATTATAGGAATTGATCTGTATTTGTGAGTGACAAAATAAAAGTTTCTAGTACTAAAATTTATGTTTAAAATAAAAAAATTTCTGTTGATTGCTTCAATTATTTTAATTAAAACATTAATAATAGGATCAGGAACATTTAGTTTGTCACTTATAAATTTCGGATCAATTCCTAAAATAGAGATCTAGGTGAAAAAAACAGTTTATAACCGATTTACTGCAAAAAAAAATCAGTATTTTTCGAATTAATATTAAAAAAAAATAAAATGTGTGTTTAGGCAATTGGGTTTATTAAAATACATCCCAGATCATGGAAAAACAAGAAATAAAAGCTTTGCAATAATTAATTGTAGTTTTTTTTGCTGAAAACAGGGGTACTTTTACTGGACAATATAAAAAATATCAGGTTTTTTACAAAACACTCGCAAAATCTAAGCTGAATCTAAATTTTTTTTCCCAATAAGCCTCAACTTAATTAATACAAACTTAAAGCTTATTAAACAAAGAAGTGAGGAAACTGTAGTATAGTTGGATGATGATAAAAAATAGAACTCAAGACCTACAAAAAAGTTCATATAAACAATGGGCCTATTTTCAGCAGAAAAGTAAGAAATCCAAGTTTTGTGCTTTTTTTAAGTAAGTCATATTTTTTGTTGAATAGGAAGCGATAACTAAAGAAATATTTAATTTAAGTAATTAACAATTGTTTCACTGTAAACTAGACAAAATTTATTTTAAAAGTGAATAGAGTTTGTTATTTTTAAAACCATTTAAAGACGGCTTTTGAGCGGCTAAACTGAGGTAAATTCTGTTTTTTAAAAAATCATAAATTATTCGCCATTTTTTTCATCATCATCCAACTATACTATAGATACACCACTTTCAGGAAAACTTCCCCTTTTAATAACCTTCAAGTTCACATTGATTAAGATGAGGTTTATTAGGCCAAACATTGAGATTCACTATAAGTTTTGTAAAAAAATCATATAATTATTTTTCCTGTCACCTAAAAGTACCCATTTTTTCCAAAACAATTACCACAATTAATTTTTGCAAAGGTTTTATTTCTTGATATTCTATAATCTTGGATGTATTATAATGAACATAATTGCCTAAATACACTTTTCCCTTACATGAAAAAACTATATTAAAAATAATGTTTTTTTCAAATATTTTTCAAGTAAAGTAGTTATAATTTTTTCCCCACATCTCTGTGATAAGAATTGATCTATATTGATAAGTGACAAATTTAAGATCCCTGATCCTAATATTAACATTTTCATGAAAATAATTAAAGCAATCAGTAGATTTTTTTATTTTAAACGTAAATATTAGGATCATGAACATTAAATTTGTAGCTTATAAATACAGATCAATTTTTATGACAGAGATCTGTGAAAAAAAACATTACATTACATGAAAAATCATTATTTCTAACTTTTTATTTTATTAACAGAAAGTTATTGAAGTAATTATGTTTATTACAATAAATCCCAAATCATGGAAAAACAAGAAATGAAAGCTTTTCGTTGTTTGTAGTCATTATTGCTGAAAACATGGGTACTTATAGGTATTAGGTATTATTATTATTGGATAAAAATCACATCATTTTTTTACACAATTTGAGGTGATTCACAACTTTTTGCCTAGCTAACCTCAACTTAACTAATATGGACTTAAAGCTTATTAAACGAGGAAGTTTTTGTAAAAGTGGGGTATTTGTAGTATAGGACTCTACTTTTATTTGAAGTAAATTTTGTTTAGTTTACACTAAAGCAAGTTCTAATTACTTAAATTTAATATTTCTTTAGTTATCGCTTCCTATTCAACAAAAAGCATGACACTTTAAAAAAAAAAAAATGGATTTCCTACTTTTCTGTCAAAAATTTGCTCATTGTTTATATGAACTTTTTATCAGATCTTAAGTTCTGCTATCACTCCTATAAAACTTTCCTTCTAGTTACAGGACACCCTGTATATATGTAGTGATTTTTAAAAAAATAATAAAAATAATTAATTTCTGTCCCTGTTTAGGACTCACCAAATATTATATTTTAAAAAAATAAATAAAAATTGATGATTCTAATTTTTATTTAGTCTATACTAACGGGCATACACTGAATTGTAATATCTGCTTTCTGGAAACTGGTCTTCAATGGTATCCTTACTGGCCTGATTCCAGGCACAGAGTGGGAATGCATATCGACCTTTAGTCGGATGGACTAGGATGTGTTTATTTGTTGATGATCAATTTGCAATTAATAAAATCAACCAATGGATACCTTACTCACTTTGGTTTAGCAACTTATTTTGCAACTATCCCACCCCTCATTACAATCCCACCAGGGAGGGTAGTCCCCTGAAATTTAAGTGGATGCTGCAGATCTCAACACTTACAACCATGACGAATTAATTATCAAAGTATGATGAACGTACAAATTTTGTTCTATTTTCAGTTGATTTAGAATTTTCCTATACTGTACAGTAATTCAATAAAATACTCTAAAACTTATCAATAATATGAGTTTAAACAAAATTGCGATAAAAGGATACTTTGTGGTTTTTTGCTAGCATGTATGGCTTTGACAAGAGCAACAAGATGGTCTCTATGACACTTAAGAACCCATGGATTCATGTCAGTAGTACCATTTTTTCCATTGGAGATTTCATCCTCAAATTGGCATTTTGTAGGCAAAACTTCAAAACTCCCAGAACGCCGTAATCTTAATCTAATGGAACCACAAAAAATACAAAATAAATATTATAGCTTATTGATTAACATATTCTTTAATATTAGAAACAGTGAAGGAAACAAATCATTAGTACACAACAGGGCTATTAAGGACGCGGTGCATCAGCCTCCCAAACACACACACACACACATATATATATATATATATATATATATATATATATATATATATATATGTATAAATTGTTAAGTTGATCCCAAAATAAAACTTAGATAACAGTGAGGATAGGATATGACCAACTATTTCCATGTTGTTACCTGCCTATTTGAGAGTTTTTTTTAACTGATTCTTCTCCATTCAATGCAACCAGGTACATATATTCTCCATCAAATACGACATCAACTTCAACAATTCCCAAAAAGTTGGGAGCATAGGGTTTCAACTCATCTGGTATAGATCTATAGAATAAAAGCTCTCTTTCAACTACTGGCTTGCATACCCTGTTTTCATCCAGACAGAGCATCGACGAATGTCCCCCAACTTGGTGAATATAAGGTTGTAACTAGAATAAAACATTGGATAGAAAAGGCAATCTTCTAAATCAAAACAATACACAGAGATCTCCAAGTAATGAGGGGAACAATGGAGATTAACAAATTATTTAAAAAAATAAAAGTACATACATATACAAATTTGTTTCCATGATTGTCTTCCATCAGTTTCTTTGCCTTTTACAAGCATTGGTCATTCAAATTTTTTTAAATCTTGTTGAATCTCACATAATTTATAGTTGTTATTAATTGATTAACTTGTCAAGTAAGATTTTCATTCAAAAGGTTTTCTACACTATGACATTACTTTTTGGCTAAACAGTCCCTGAGTCTGAAAGAGTTATTTTATTTTCATGATTTAGCTTAGTTGGTCAAAAAAACAATAATAATGAAGTCCGGAACCAGGTCATTGTCAATGTCTTAAGTTCTTTTTTGACCAACTAACTCGATATCATATCAATTGTGATAAGGGTTCTGCGATCGTTGCGCTATCTAGTGGTTTTCTATAAAACTACTGTTATCATCCAGTATAAAATGTGGTAGCAGTTTTCTTCACTCTTAAAAATTAATGTAGTAACATAAAAAGTTAATTAAAATTATTGTTCGCGTTTGTCACAATAATCAATTCAAAATTCATTACAATTTTTGCTATCATAATTCCTCATAGGGCCAATGTAATTATGTAATTGGACCATCTGACCATGCCTTCAGAAAGTAAGAATGAACATAATACCAACATTAATTTGCATTCTGACTTTCACAGGTATTAGATTATCTTTGCCAATCACAGCTACTAGGACTTTTCCAAACAGTCCAAAAAAATGGAGAACACATTAATTAATTTAATTGAGAGATTTTGAATATGACTGCCAACATAGAACTTCTCAACCACCTCATTTTTAATAAAAAAAAAAAAAATAAAAAAAATATATATATATATATATATAGATAGATAGATAGATAGAAAAAAAAACTTTATTCTGGGACTAAGTCCCTTCAGAATAACAATAATGTACAAAATAATAGAATATTACTGGCCTGTACGTTTGAAACAATAAATAAAATTGATAAAATAAAATAAAAAGTAAAGAAAACCTTAGGTGCACAAGCTATATACAATAAAGATAAAACTATGTACAGAGCGTTTAAAATTATGAACAAAACAATTAAAACTACGAACGAATCACTTGAACTATGAACAAAATTATATATAAGGGTTGAACAACATAAACATACACTTTGAGAAATGAAGAACGAAAAAGCGATACAGTGAGTTCATTTCATAAAATAAAATTAAAAAAAACTTTACTTGAATATATATATATAAAAATAAACAGTTAATTATAATTGAATAAAAAAAAAAATTTATGTATTGAATTCCTACGTCGATAGTAGGAAATGCATGTACTATCTCTAGTATCAAGTATTATGATTATATGATTGCTACACAAAACATATATAATATTAATAGTTAGCTGGTATCTGACTGTTTTTGGAACAGGAATTGGAATAGGTTTTTGAATGTGTATAGGGAAGGGGCATGTCGAATTTTGGAAATTCCAAAAGTTGACAGAGCGGGCTATAAAGGAATTTTGGAACGAGGCAGATCTATGAGAAGGGATGTATAGGTCAGAGGGTCGAGATCTTGTAGTGAGGGAATGGATTGAGGACTTAAATTGGAGAAGGTTGTGGGCATAAGAAGGACGATGATCGGTAATGATTTGATAAAGGAAAGTGCCTAGGAAATATTGTCTTCTTAAGGAGGGGAAGAGCCACCCTAACTCAGTGTAGTGGTGGGAGACACGGGAGCGTCTCGGGGCCCCAATTACAAATCTTACGAAGCTATTCATAAGTCTTTTGAGTCTATCACGGAGTTCCACCGAGAGGCCATCGTACACCACACAGCTGTAGTCAAAGTGGGGAAAGATGAGAGAGGAAACTAGGAGTCTACGGGTATTTTGGGGTAGAAGGTGGCGGAAGTGATGGAATAATTTGAGGGTAGAAATTGCACGGCGGGATATATGAGAGATATGGTGATTCCAGGAAAGGGTTTGACCTATGAGAAAGCCTAAATTTTTAACAAAGGGATAGAAGGTGATGGGGTGGTTGTTTAGATAGAGTGAGGGAAAGTTGGTGTGGGATCTAAGAAGAGGCTTGGAACCAATGAGAATGGCCTGCGTTTTGGAAGCATTTAGCCTTAATCCATTTAAGTTGGCCCAGGCACTAATTCGATCTAAATCTTCTTGAATTTTGGCAAATGCCACCAATAACTCAGCGGGAAAAAAGGATAAATAGATTTGAGAATCGTCGGCATAAAGGTGGTGGGAACAATGGATAATTGAATCATTTAGGTCATTAATATAAGAGCTGAAAAGGAGAGGAGACATGCTTGAACCCTGTGCAACTCCAGAGGATAAAGGAAGGTAGGCAGATAGAGGTTGATTAGGTATGGAAACTGCTTGGGTTCGTTGTGAGAGAAAAGACTGGAACCAAGAGATGGAACTATTGGAAAAGGATAATGATTTTAATTTGTTGAAAAGGATGGAATGGATAATGGAATCGAAAGCTATATATATATATATATATATATATATATATATATATATATATATCCCTATATAAGCTATATATATATCCCTCAATTTATATTGTTCAGTAGATCTTTTTATATAAAATCAGTTTTGTAGATGAATGTGGCTTTTTTGATGGATCTAAATTTCACTTAACTTTTTAAGACATAAAATTTAAAAAAAAATTTGTCACTTTAATAAAATATTTTAAGCCAATAGATAAATAATTTTATTTTTAATTGAAATAACTGAATCAAATACACTAGTCGATTCAAGGAATGGGGTGTCAGAGCTAAAGCATTGTCCCCTCCCTCAAAAAATAGAAAATTAATATATCTTTTTCATGTTTCTTTTAGAGCCAGTTGTTGGCCTTCGAGATTCTTAAAACATGATCTGAGTGGGTCAAAGCAGTAGCAGATTCAGGATTTTATTTTGGAAAGGCGGGTTAACCTATTTTTTTATTTTTGTAATTACAGCAAAATGAATTCTTTTAGGAATATTTTTATATTTACCTTTTTGGAAAAGTGCTTACAATTAGTGGCTGAGGTATATACGTTATAATTAGAGAAAGCATTATAATTGTTTGATTATTTGCTCAGTATGATGGAATTCAACAAAATGTTATTTTTTTTTTGATGAATTTTTTTATTGTTACACAATAGCTAATAAGACCAGTTATTGTTCAGAACCGTTCCTTATCAAATTCATGTAAAAAATCATTGAGAATTTTATGAAATGTTATGATTGTTTTATTTTAGGTTTTGGAGCCCAATAAGTTACTTCCTTTTATAGTTACCAGGATTCATTTACTTACTAATTTAGTTACATGACAAATGCATCATGTTTTTTTTCTCCATCAAATAGAGTAAAGGAAATAGGAAATGTATTATTCAATGTATCAGTATAATTAAGCCTTCAATTAAGTTGAAAAAAAAATAAAACAATAGTAAACAAATAAATAACAAAAAAATTTTCACGATCGTAATACTTACCCTTATATTACATATATACGTAAGTGAAAGTAAAAGATAGTAAAATAATTTTTTTTCGGTTGGCATTACAGACCTTGCAGGTCTTTTGCCGCCTTAACAATCCTGGGCCATCTCAGCACGTTTTGGGATATTTCTTTCCAGTTATCTGCACATAGCTCTATTGCATCTTTGATGATTATATCTACCCATCTGCTTTTTGGTCTTCCACGTGATATTTCGTCTTCTATTGAGGCATTCGTTGCTATGTAGAGGCTTTCAGATGGATTGCTAAGAGCTACGCCCCACACATCTCAACCTCCATGCCTTCATTCATATCATGAAATATTGATTGACTAGTTCCTATAAGCAGTTCTTTATTGTTCTTTCTTCTCCATGTATTAGTACTCTGATCCCAGATCGCTCTGATTATTGTGCGGAGAATTTTTCTCTTAAATCTTTCAATACTTTTTTCTAGGGTGCTGGTTAGTGTTCAGGTCTCACAGCCATATATTAGAACTGGCTTCATCATAGCACTGTTCATCCTTAAATTGAGATTTTTTTGGAATTTAAATACCTTTGAAAAGGAGAAGAAAGCTGTGTTTGCACTAGTTATACACTGGTCTATTTCTGACTGTTGGTCATTCACTAAGGTTATTGTGGAGTCAAGGTATTTGAATTTTTCTACTCTCGGGAACAATTTCCCGTTTTTGCAGATCCTGTTATTCGAGTGGAATTTTCGGCTTATAGGCTCATTTGCTCTGCTTCTCTTACCAGTGTCTTAGCAAGTTTCTCTATGTCCTCTTGATTACTTCCAAGGATAGCTATATTATCTGCATATCCAAGGATTTTATGATTCATCTAAACGTGGAACGCTTCATTTTCAATTTATGTTCTTATATCACCTTCTCCAGGGCTAAGTTGAACAACATCGGTTACAGTCCATCTCCTTGCCGTAATTCCATTCAAACTTTGAAGACTTCAGATATTTCTCCTTGTATTAGAGCAATATAAATAAAAACATTAATATTCAATATTAAACAAAAAATTGTTTAAATCACATACTTTTATTTTTTAAAGAGGGGTATAAAAATACATACAGCAACATATTAAAAATTCATTTATTTTAATAAACAATAAATGCAAGATAATTAAAATTATATGTATATAAACATACACAAAGAATACACATTTACTTTAAGTACCTAAATCAATGAACATATTACTTCATAGGTAATGCAAATATTAATAGATATGTGAATTATCTAATGCTGTTTATTATTAAAACTGTTTTTAAATCCAATAAAAATATATTATATTATTATTGCTGTTCTATTATAAAATAATAATATATTATATGATCCATAAATAGTAAAATTAATTTTTTCTAGGAACTGATATAATACCTGATACTAAATTACAACTAATGTTAATATTTGAAAAAATATATAGTATTGTAGTTAATGTACAAAAATAGCAACACTGAGGGACAGTGCACCACACTAAACTAGAATACGTAATGACACATTATCAAAATTATAATTTTACCATGAAAGTGTATATAGATTAACATTAAAATTTGTTTGAGATTAAAATAAAACAAAAAACTTTTGAATGAATAAGATTT